AGTCCTAATTTATCTTTTTTTTTTTTGCGAGATATTCATTTGTTATTTGATCTCAAATTTATTTCCAATACACATAATACAATAGGCCTGACCTATATATTGTTACACACGCGCAAAAGCCACCGTCTAAGACAAAGGTCACGAACTTAAAAGCATGGCTACTTATTTTACGGAATCGGGTTGCAATATGAAACATAGAAAGATTGACCATGTGTCGAAGCTATTCATCAATTAAGTGTATATCGGACTGATAAGTAAGCATTTGTACGATAAATTTATAGCATAACAGACTGAGCTTTTTATTCTGGGTTGATTTTTAATGATTTATTAATGATGCACACCGTTTCCCGATAAAATTTTGTTTTGAAAGTAGAAATCCAAATTTTAGAAACGTATGATAAACGGATGATAATGTGTGAAAATACGGGGAATTGTACCAAAATTAGTGCAATTCCGCTAAGAAACCCATTCGTTTTAAAATGGTCACCGAAAAACGCCACTAGCAAAATAGAAAAAGAAAAATTTATTTGGAAAAGAATACGGATAGAATTTAGCGAAAAAAAAGGACCGTACAAGCAGACGATGAAACTCAGACAGAAAATGGTTTGTTGGGATGAAATGAAAAAAGAAGAGTAGTTGACAACTTTCCCTATGTTTCAAGTGTAAACAAGTCTTTGAATTTATAGGACTGTACAGAAGAAATCCGATATTGTTTCGATAACTTGTTTAAAATAAACTACTATGGCCATGTTATTACGGGGACCTCAGTATCGTTCAAGATCAAGAGGTTAAAAACTTTCTGAAAAAAGGACCAACATATCGTCCTCCATCAAAAATATATCGGAAACAGTGTCGTCAGGTCACAAAAGACGCTCTTTCATTATATTGTAAAAAATGGTGTAAACGGGAAAAATCTGATAAAAAATCTCATGCTTCTTATTTGAATAAATGTATGAATGTTGTGGATATTCGAATATCACATTTTGAAAATAATTCAGAAATAAATAAAAGAGTACATAATACGCCTATTTCTAGAATAAGAAACAAACTTCAAGTACTTTCAAAGCGGTTCGTGTTTGTACCGGCCGACAAAGCAGCCAACAATGTGGTGGTGGTATGCCGTAAATACTACACGGACGTTCTTAAGAATGAAATTTTAAATTCTTCTACATTCAAGTCCGTGCGCTCCACAGAGAGTCATATAGTAAACAATCATATCATAACCACATCACATCTCTTCTGATCACGTGAAGGTCCCTACTATGCATTAGTTACCTAAACTACACAAAAAACCAGTAAAATATCGCTTCATCTTGGCCTCTAGTAAGTGTTCTACAACTAATCTTTCAGTGCTTTTAACTAGTTCCTTAACTACTAACAAAAACTTATCATTAACTTTTGTAATAAAATATATGAAAATAGTGGAATTAACTTTTTTTGGAGTTTAAAAAATTCTTTGGATAATTTAAACAATTTACGTCCTTTTGATGGTCTTTTTGGTTCTGTTGACAATTTTGACTTTTCAACGCTTTACCCAACACTACCATACAATCTTATCAAACAATAGTTTTCCTATTTAATCAAATGGTCGTTTTGTAAATCTGAATGCAAATATATTTGCTGCAACTCATTTAAAGCCTTCTTCTCTAATGAGAAAGGTTAATATGCTAGATATAGGAAGATGTGGTATGAGTGCCAATGAGACAACTCTCCATCCAAGTTACAATTTATAAAATATAAAAGTAAACCATTATAGGTCAAGGCGTATACGATACACTTACTGGAGGTGTGATGAGATGATAGAAGCTGTTAATTTTCTCCTTAATAATATTTATGTACAGTTTATCGACAGGTTGTATGCATTCCTATGGGCATCAATTGCGCCCCTTTAATAGCAGACTTGTTCTTGTATTGTTATGACCAAACTCAGTAAAGACCCGTCTGAGTTGCATTTAATTGATAAATTCAACAACACTTACCGTTATCTTGATGATATTTTTTCGTTAAATAATCCAGAATTTTCTAAATATACTGCCGAAATTTACCCAAATGAACTTACTTTAATTAAATCAAATATAGAGGTAATAACTGTCATTTCCTAGATTTAGATACTTCAGTTTTACACGGGAAACTCTACACTAAAATTTACGACAAAAGGGACGATTTTTCGTTTCCCATTGTTAATTTTGCTTTTTTGGACGGTGATGTCCCTTTGGCACGATCTAACGGTGTTTATATATCACAAACCATTTGCTATATATGTCCGTGTCTATTGTGACGTTTTGGATTTCAAGGAAAGTAATCTATATATTACTGGTAAATTATTAAGACAGTGATTATGTTACCACAAATTACTTAAAATCTTTACTAAATTCTTCCATAAATATAAAGATTTGGTTTTGAAGTTTGGTTATACCCGTATAAAACTTATTTCAGATGGGATAGCGCATCCTAATTTTTACGGAGATATTGTTTACCGAGCCCGGAAATTTAGATACGATCCGGGTAAACTTATCGATCCTTTAAATAAACTTATTTTAAACGGTTACCAATTCAACACTGTAATTAGATCTTTGAACATTGTTTTATTGGTATTAATATACATTTTGTTATCAGTAAAATTAAGATCAAACTTAATATTATTTTGATATACATATGCACATTGGCTCTACAATCTGTCGATACATGTATCTTGGCATTGCACAAGGTCATATTTTTCCCTGACTGTTAATGACGTCTTTACACTAAATCCATTGGATGTTGGATGTGTACTGATTAATATTTCAGTCTTAAATGCATGATTTTTTTATTAGTTGTTATTGGCTCTGAACTAGCTGCCAGTAACTGCGAGTACTCTCAGATCTGTACTTAGTGTTTTTTTGTTGTATAAGTATACATTGCAACGTCCACTCTGTGTTTTTTGTTATATGTATTTCTGTTTGTATCCATCTGATGAGCTGACAGATGATTAGCAAATGTGCCTTTTTGGGGTATGGGCATACAGCTCACACAGGCGTCGGGAAAAGCCCGAGTTATAAGGAGTTTTAACAACAAGTATACAAGTGTGTATGTAAATTAAAAGGGTTGTTATTTCTTTGTGTGCATAAATAGAGATGTGGGATATATATTAAAACAGCAACTGACCAATTAACGACTCACAAATACAAAGACATCCAGATAACACGTGACTAATGCAGAATGGAAGAGTATTTTTTTTTTACTGCTAATTTGTAGTTTTAGTAAAGATTCGTTGGTCCCTTGAATAGGAAAGTTAATAAGTACATTTGGTATATCAAGTTTAATAACATCTCATGTTCACAACATAAGTCAGATTTTAATTATAACAGCAACATATTTCAGGCTTCTAGTACGTATTTTTCATTCTTTAAACTAATTGTATTCAGGAGAAAACTCAGACCATTATGAAATAAGGAGATGTGGTATGATTGCCAATTAGACAATTTTTCATCAAAGACCAAACGACGTAGATGTTAGCTTGCTTGCATTGCTACATTTTAGATCTCCCAATTACCATTCCACTATGAACAGCTGATTCAAAAAGATAGTTTACCACCAAATGCCTTACAAAATAGAACATCATCATCAGTATATATGCTAATATATATTTTGCTCCCTTCGACAAAATGCTGGGAGCATATTGTTTTATCCGTGTTCGTTCGACAGTCCGTCCCGCACTTTGCACATAGGGTTTATACGGCCTATTTCTTAGGACTACAGTTTTTAAGCTTAAAATTCTAAATTATGTACCTTGTGTTAGTATATATACTAAAGATGCGCATCTTGTCAGAGTCCCTTTACCTATGTTGAGGGTGCATATATATTCTCAGGATTTAAAAAAAATAATTTTCCACGATCGAATGACAGAATGTTGTACTTTGTCCTCTTAAGTGTAATTTTGTATACAGTTTGCAAGGGTTGTCCGACTAACTACAAACACAACTCACACGTTTACACCATACAGAGTATACTATATTTATAATGTATATTTTATCAGGATGTTGACTTTCTTTATGATTTTCACAACTAACAGAATGTTTAACCTTTTCTGACGGATGCATCAAATGTGTCTTTTAGACACAACTATATCAAATTGCATTGTATCGTCCTGAAAATGTATGAAGTATTTGTCACTGGACGTTAAGCAACCATCAATCCATTAATTCAAATTGTACTTCATCATCACTGTCTACCAAATCAAATTTTTGAAGAACTTTATCTTATTCATGCATGGATACAGCGGTGACACCACCTTTTCCTAGTTTGGTAGGGTTAAGTTGAAGATTCAGTTTTGAAAAGTTAAAAGTGCACCCAGTTAGGACGAACTAAAGTTAACTCAGTAGAATGTTATTTTAAATAATGGGAAATTTACGACAGGGGGAATGAAAATAAAATAACAAACACCATTCAGATCCCGTTAAATATTTTTTTTCAATACCTCTGAGTAAAAATAACACTATTCTGTATTCAGTAACGTCACACGTTTTTTGTCAAGTTCTAAGCGTATTGGTCAACTTTGAAGCAATGTATCTAAAAATCAAGGATCGTTTCTATACATGCATAGATTCAGTATACAATCCTGGATATTATGTTAGTTTTTAGTGTTTCTCCATATATAAGAACATATAGCCACCCATTGAAAAATCTTAAAAAATATGTTAAAAAAAGGTATTTTCCATATATTTGTCGCCAAAATTGACGTTTCTTATAAAAATTACAAAAAAACAAAAATGGTGACCCCTATTTTTTATTTCATATTCGATGTAGTATTTCATATTCGATGTAACTCAAATCAAAGAACAATTGTGCCAAAATTTTAGAAATCAGGAGATATGCCATTTGGTATTGTGTTACCTTAAGTAACGCCAAGAACAGATTTTCTACAGACCATTTATTTAAGGATTCTTTCTCTAAATAAAATAATTGTATAACAATTGAAGTATGATGTTTTATTCACATATTGTTGTAATGACCTATATGTAATTATTGGACTTTCTGAAAATGTCTTGATGTCATGATTCTAGTCACAAAATATCATTTGCATAAATTTCGGACACAGATAAAAGCAACCGATACAGCAGTTACAATGGCAATTGTATTTGTTATATAAGTTCGTATTTAGGTGGATTTGTCGGATCACGGTCATAGTAAGGACCTTTCGGTTTCGTTAATTTTGATGTTGGCCTGCTTCAGACCGCTTATTTCTCTCGATACTTTCTCTTTTTTGTTTGCTTTTCGTGTGTCTTTTACATGTTCTTCTTTTATTTTAACATCACAGTTTTTGTAGTATGATTTGATTTTTCGTTTTCTTCTTTTCTAAATCTGTTCCTCTTTATAACGTTTAAGGCTTTCTGTGCAGTCATTTTTTTAATTTTCCTGAAATTAGGAAGTTTTTGTAAGTCATTTATTTGTACCAGTGTGTTATGTATACTGCGGCTTTCTTGCGTCTCGACGTTCAAAACGTTAAATATTAGCTCGGGGGACATTGAGTTGGACATAGCTAAAATTGAGAATGGAAATGGGGAATGTGTCAAAGAGACAACAACCCGACCATAGAACAGACAACAGCAGATGGTCACCAACAGGTCTTCAATGCAGCGAGAAATTCCCGCACCCGGAGGCGTCCCTCAGCTGGCCCCTAAACTAATATATATACTAGTTCAGTGATAATGAACGCCATAACTGTTTATTGATATCGGTTTTATTCTGTATCGCACTATCAACATACATGAATGGTTTTACACTAGTGGGGTCCTTTATAGCTTGCTGTTCGGTGTGAGCCAAGGCTTCGTGTTGAAGGCCGTACTTTGACCTATAATGGTTTACTTTCACAGATTGTGACTTGGATGGAGAGTTGCCTCATTGGCACTCATACCGCATCTTCTTATATCTATTGAGTATTTGTACTTTTCAAGACTTGAAAAATTTGAATCATAAATCTTGTTGAATGTGAGTTTTCTAGCACTTAGAATATACATGTAACACAGAAACGTACATTTTGTGTTAAAGGGACAATTTTTCGGACATTTATATTTATTTCATAAAAATTCGGAACACGAATTTAGTTGGACTTTTCATAGTGAGAAAAAGTACAGTTATAATACTTTTTTTTGTATAAAAACATATTACTTTTGATAAGTTTCTATTTATCATTTTTATCTTTAAATCTGATATAATGTTAAATTTCGCAACATTGAGTGATACGGGACATACCCCATACATCATCTGATTCCCATTTTTTTCGACTCCAACCGCTTTTGAAGGGAACATAGATATTGCAACATGAAGGTGTTATGACGTTCATGAACGGAAAACGAAATGAAGCAATTTCGAGGGAAGCAAGAATCCAATACATTCGTTTTATGTTGAATAACATCATGCAAAATGTAACGCGGGACAGGACACAATTTACAATTTTACGAGCTTTGGACTATTATTTCTCATAACCTTATCATCACACTGCATAATGCTTGCAAAATCAAAAACAAAAGAAGAAATAAGCTTTATTTTGGTATAACGCATGACATCAATACTTATTATATAACTACTGAAACATGTTTTAGAATAGGTAGAGCACGTTTATTCGAAGCAATACCAGTATCTTGCGACGTCTCGATACAGTTACAGGGGAGATAACGACGTCGCTTACGTAAAATGCGTCAATCTGTGACATTTTAGGAAAAGATATAATTTTTCACTCAATTTAATTATACATGTACATGTAAGCCTGAAAACGAGTGCATTGACCTATACTTTTTTAAAATGATATGTGGCTTGATTATGTATGAAGATTATTTGTCCAAATTTTTATGAACAAATCACGATGGAAAGTTTTAAAATCAGATAAATATACCACAAAAAAATGCCGTTTTTTTTTAACTAAAATTACGAAAAGTTGATAAAAATGAATTATTACCGAAGAATTGTTGCACAAATTTAGAGCAAGTGTATGTAAATAATAATCCTTTTGTAACATAAAAGTTAGGTATGTCTATCCAACGGATAGAAATATCCACGAAACCGAAATTACGAGTAAATGTCTAAAATTGCGACCCCATTTATCTCTAGAAGTATCATATGAAAGGTATATTTGTTATTACATATTTGAATTAATTATGTGAAAAATAGCTTGCATGCAAATTTTCGTTAAGAAACATCACCGTGGTATCAAAACAGTATCGTATGCCCTTAAGCAGACGTCAATCAATCAATGAAACATGTCAATGTTATCATGGTAGCTTCTTTTTGTTTATTGTTGAATGAAACTACTTGACTTTTTGAAAGTTTATGAATGTGACCACGATGTTGATGATGATGGATGGCTGCTTAACGTCCAGCTGCAAATGTCTTTAACTGGCTAGTTTACAAGGTAACAGTCCGCAGAAAGACATGTCACCTTACCCGGACACATTATTCAGACTCCGAGCCGACCAGTCTTTGCTCTTACTCTTTAATGCCGCATACTTAGCGGAGAAGCAGAAAATACCAATTTTGAAGTCTTTGGTTTGACCCGAGCGGATGGATGCTTAACGTCCAGCAGCAAATTAAATGCATATTCAGGAAGAGATAATGTTGTTGTTTATAACCCTGCTTTGTACTATATCGAAATGCTGAGGTCGGATTTTTAACGTGCTAGTTCACAAAGAAATAGTTCGCAAAGAGACATATCACCCTACCCGAACACATTATTCTGCCTCAGAGTCGACCAGTCTTAGCTCTCACTCCTTGATACCGTGTGCTAAGCGGAGAAGCAGCAAATCACAATTTTAAAGTCTTCGGTTAAGTCTTTGGTTCGACCCGGCTGGGTTGGAACCCTATATCTCCCGCACTCGAGGCGAACACGCTACCACGAGACCCCCGAAAGGGTTGCATTTGGTTTAGACATGTTTATGTCTAGTATTTATCAAAATCAGATGTTGCCGTTTTATTTCTATTTAAATTATAATTATTTTTACCACCATTTTATGATCAATTTGCTGGGTATTCATACATTAAAATTAAATATAATTCTACCTGCATTTCGGAAAGCATTCATTCGTGTAGGATCTCCCATCAGCGGCACATACAGGTTTATATAATGTAGAGCAATTGCATGGTTCTCTACATGGACATTTTCCTTGGCACTGGACGCTCACTTTTCTGAAAGGGCACATTTAAAGGTAAAAGAAGAGTAATGAAATTTTATACATTTTACAAAATTTTCAATACAAACAACAATTAAATTTTACACACTGTCGTGATAAGCATTCCACAACTCGTAATTCAAAGTACTAGTAAGCAGAAAGAAGGTGTCCGAAAAACGTTTCAACTTATTGATGTCAAGCTGTTGACAAAATGTGAAATCAATCTGTCCGGTGTGTTCCATTTTTTCCCATCAAGATGAATGGGCATTAAAATTGTCGTCAAACAGTCAATGACAGATCCGAAAGGTACTTACCTAATACGTTACAACTTATCATTATCAGGTTGATGATCTGTTTCCTACTTATGTTTGACGGAAACATTTTTGGACGGACGGACGGACAGAAAAGCTGAAGGTGATTGAAATATAACCCCCTTCCTTGGGGAGATTTATTCATGCAAATGTTTGTAGGTTAAAGGCAACGATTGCAGACTTTCGAGTTATGTCATAGCAAAATTGATTTATTAAGATCATGCTTTAAAAAACTCAAACCCCCGGTTTACAATTTATAAACTGATAAGAAATTCAGACTGATTTGATGTGTATAACACGTAACTCATACATACACACATATGTACCGATACAGACAAAAAATCCTTACGAGATATGCTATAGTTAATACTGCATATTTTATATTTATTTGAATTTTCATGCAAAATATCTTTTGCTTGCAAAAATATTTTATGGAAGTTATTACTTATATATCATGTTGTTACTTATTACACTAAAGTGTGTCTAAAATTGCATATTTTAACAGATAATAACGCTTAATCATTTCACAAATTCAATGAAATTCACAAGAAAACTAGGAACACCAAGTGTTGTGCTGTTTAAAGACTAGTGCAGCGTGAACCACGTTTTGATATTGCATTTTTTTTCTAAAAAAAATATTTTCAGGATTTTTCACATGAAATACCAAATTTCACCAAAAACCGAATTTTTTATTTCAAATTTTATTTTTATAAATTGCAGTCTCTCAACATGTATTTCACTCAGGACAAGACAAAATGTTTTTAAGAATGATACCTGTTAGAAAGTTCCATTTTGGGGTTACTCATTTTAATGTCAGTCACAAATTATGTCTGCCATATGTTCTGTTTTTCCCTTTTTGTCATACATACAGAAGTATTATAGCAGAAATTCAAAAGGAACAAAGAACAATCAAACTAAGTATATTTACCGACAATTTGCAGTACACTTGTTGGCATATGTTTGATCATTGGTTCCACATACTGGTTTGTATTCTGTAGAACACCCACAGTTACACGGACACCGACCTGAACATTTTATCCCAACTTTGCTGTTGATTTGAAAAAAAATTGATACAGATTTTCACGTGCACGATACGTGTTTCGAGATTACAATACGTCAAATATGCTTAAGACTAAAAGTTTGGAAAGCCAAACATATGAACCTGTCACCTTTAATAGTATAAAAACCAAACGTGCCTATAAAGTTGTCTTTTAGCAATGGAGGAAGTTATGTAATAAATCATTCGGACAGACTTGAGGGTCTGTAGGAGGAGGAGGTCTTCATTTATTTTTTCATCATTTTTTTTCTATTCATTAACACATATGCCAATTGTTCTTTTTTTTTCTTCTCTATATTGTAGCACCAATTTATTCTTTATATTTTAGACCCACTTTTCTCTATTCTGTAAACCCCTTCTAGACCCTCATAAATTGGAGTGAAAACAGAGGGGATCGCATAAACACTAAGGGTTTTACAGCAGGTGCACCGACAAAGTTATCTCCCCTTTGTAACGCATCTACTTCTATATAAAATAATATGGATGAAACATGACTAGACAAAAGCATTACTGATTCAACGAGTTATCTGCTTTTATCAAGGTCCACCAACCCTTTATATGAAGGTCTGTATGGGGTCCTTTTTCTTTGTTCTTTATATTTTTAGACCATTTTCCTCCATTCTTTATTTATTTTGCCTAGTTTTTCTTTTAACAATAGATTAGAGCTTACCGATTTTTCTCTATTCTTTATTGATTGCTCATTTGTCTCTAATTCTTATTTTCGGGGCCCTTTATTCTGTGCGTTTTGCTCAACCTTCATCCAGACCCTCTTATATAAGTTTTGTTTTAACTTACCTGCATTTTGCATGACATTCGCTATCATAAGTTATATCATCAGTGCCACAAACAGGATTGTAAGTTTTACGACAGTCACATGGTTCTGGGCATGGACATACGGACTTACATTTGACAGCAGTATTACTGTAAAAACAATATCAACTATACTAGTATTCCTTAATCATCAATGAAGATCTTAGACATTCAACGTATTATGAATGGACCAATTCTTATGTGGCTGGTATTTTTCAAACTTGATTTTTCTTTCGTTTTGTTATTCCGTTTTTGAGTCTGTATTATTGGGTTTTTTTTTCGGCCCGTTTGTACAGCGTAGCTACCTATAAAACCAGATTTAATCCACCATTTTCTACAGAAAGAAATGCTGGTACCAAGTCAGGAATATGACAGTTGTTTTCCATTCGTTAGATGTGTTTGAGCTTTTGATTTTGCCATTTTATAAAGGACTTTCCGTTTTGAATTTCCCTTGGAGTTCGGTATTTTTGTTAATTTGCTTCTTTCCTTTCACTCTGCAATGACTGATAGTTGCATAAATATGCTTGAGAACATTGTTTTGTTTAACAATAAAACAATTATCCAAACCTACATTTTTTTGGCACGCAGCAATTTACATAATTTACTTCCTTTGAATGTTCTCCGAATTCTGTGTATACTCTTATTTATTTATCAGTCTATCAAGTTTATGTTGTTTACATTTTAAAATTTTCTAAGCGAGGTAGAAGGCGGACAAAAAGTTTAGCCCCTGCTTCGAAGAGCCGCATCGGCCTATGAAATTTTTGTAGCGAGGTAGAAGGCGGACAAAAAGTTTAGCCCCTTTTTAATTATACACTACTGTAATGAATTTTCCCTATAAACAAAACTTGTACACAGGGAAAATTTAACTTGCCCATTTTGTTATAAAATCTTGAAAAAAAAGCCGACGCGATACACGCTATTTGGACGTGAGTTTAGCTCTTTTACGTTAATATGAATTGTATGGAGATACTGACACACATAAACTATTTACCTCAGTTTGGCATAGCATTCATTGTTATACATCCTGCCATTTACCCCACAGACTGGTTCATATACATCAGAACATGGTTTTACCTCCTCACATGGACACTTCGTATAACATTTTATTGGAACTTTGCTGAAATTGCAAAATAAATGAAAACACATAAATGATATCAGTCTAATTATAACATTGATGTTTAATACCAATGTTACTGCATTGCGGCAATTATTGCCTTTTAAATAAGGCTCGAGGACAAAATATTTGAAAATCAAAAACCTTATACAAATGTTGACGGACTGACAAAACCAAAAGAGGATTAATAAAAGCTTACAAGACAGGCAGTAATTCCAAATATATTTATGGCCCCAGTTCGCATGTTATAACAGGAGACCTTAATATCGTCCATGACCGAGAGTTGGAATCATTCCTCAGTAAAATATCGTCCCCCGTCAATTATTAATTGGAATGAATGTCGTAACATCATCCACGACTCACTCCGTACTTACTGCACGAAATGGATAAAACGAGAAAAAGCTGAAAAAATCCTTAGATTCTTTTTTTAATTCAGTAATAAACATAGTTGATATTCGTATTAAACATTTTAAATAAATTTCCCTCCTAACAACAACCATAATAGCTCTAGCTATTCTTCGTATCAAACATAGGCTAAAAGAACTCGCCAAGTAATTTGTTTTTGTCCCGGCTGATAAGGCTGCCAATAATATCATTATTGTTTGACGTAAATTTAATATTGAGGTTCTGCAAACGGAAATCACGAATTCACAAACATTCCAACTGACTCCATTTTCGGAAAATAACATCTGTAACACACATAAACTTTTAGCTGTACCTCTTTACAAGCAGCACCGAATAACATGAAAGTTCCAGCTATGTACTGGCTTCCAAAGCTGCACAAAACACCTTACAAATGTATATTTATTTCGTCTTCAAGACATTGTTCCACTACTAAACTGTCTATTCTACTTACTAGTACACTTGGTGCAATCAAAAACCTGATAATTAATTGTTCAAATAAAGCCTTTGAAAATATTGGAAATAAACTCATCATATATAACAGGATTGAAAATTTGTACGCAAGACGCGCGTTTAGTCTAAAAAAGACTCATCAGTGACGCTCGAATCAAAAAAGTTAAAAAGGCCAAACAAAGTAAGAAGATGAAGAGCATTGAGGACCAAACATTCCTAAAAGTTTTGCCAAACACAGCTAAGGTAATCTTTTCCTGGGGTAGAAAGTCCTTAGTATTTCGAAAAATTCAAAGTTTTGTAAACAGTTAATCTATAATTATGACCATATCGATGATAATTCATGTCAACTCAGAAGTGCTGACTACTGCGCTGGTGATACCCTCGGGGAGAAAAACTCCACCAGCAGTGGCATCGACCCAGTGGTTGCAAATAAACTCATCATAGATAACAGGATTGAAATTTTGTACGCCAGACGGAATTAATTACTTCTAAAGTGTCAAAAATTCGTTGGAAGTACTTTGTAAATTGCATGCTCATATTGGTGATTTTGAATGTGTTCAAATTTTTGCTTTTTCTACGCTGTATACCACTTTGCCTCATAATCTCATTAAGAAAAACTTCATACACCTAATCAAATGGGCATTTAAAAAGTCAGAATGCGAATATATATGTTCAAACTCTTTCAGGTTATGTTTTGGTAACAACAAACAAAAGAACTATCATAATGTCAATTGGACCTGCTTTGATACGATCACTGCAATTGAATTTTTACTAGATACAAATGTAACATTTCTATTCGCTATGGAGATTCCGTATATCGTCAAGTTATCGGAATTCCAATGGGGACTAACTGTGCACCAGTTATTGCGGACCTGTTTTTGTATTGTTACGAGTTACAATTTGTGACTAAAATCAACAAAGACCCATCGAAACAACATCTGATACAAACATTTAATAACACTTATATTTAGATGATATATTGGCTCTCAATAATGCCGACTTCAGTATGTACACTAAAGAGATTTATCCTGCTGAACTGACTTCAAATAAAGCTAATACTAACATTGAACACTGCCCTTTCCTAGATCTTGATATCTATATCTTTAACGGGAAGCTTAATACCAAAATTCACGACAAAAGAGATGGTGACGTTCCCTCGTATATATCTCAACTTGTTCGATTCGCTCGTGTTTGTAACAACGTATTTGATTTTAACGAAAGAAATCGCTGTATTACTGAAAAATTATTACACCAGGGTTTTCGATATCACAAAACTTGTCAAAACATTTACTAAATTTTATCATAGGTACAACGACATCATTGAATTTCGTAAATATAAATCAACGTGCAGACATCTTATACGTTCAGGTATTTCACATTCAATCTTTTATGGTAATAGTCTATAAAAATTAATTGGAATTAATATTGATTCACTCATAGGGTATTTGCCACGGAAATAAACACATTTATTCTAAAACAAGTTGTTGGCATGATACGGATTATATTCTTCTCGTATAATTTATGATGGTGTGGTACTCTACCCCTAACAGGAGGGATTGTGCTTGATTTTCATATGATGAAGACATAATCTTTCAATCAGTTTAACTGAGGTCTGGTGCTGGCATGTCAGTAACTGCTAGTAGTCCTTTGTTAATTTATGTTGATCATTGTCATTTTGCTAAGTTTCTTCTGTTACCTATTCTAACATTGGACTCGGACTTCTTTTAAACTGAGTTTTACTATGCGTATTGCTGTATGTTTGTTTATTCTACATTGGCTAAAGGTATAGGGGGAGGGTTGAGATCTCACAAAACATGTTTTACCCCGCCGTATTTTTGCGCCTGTCCTAAGTCAGGAACCTCTGGCCTTTGTTAGTCTTGGATGTTTTTTTTTTTCATTTTGACTCAAACTATTCATTTTGCTTTGTTTTTTAAAGTGAAAAAGTGTTTGGTATTATGATAAGTAATAGACTATTTTCATATTACCGACTTTTGACTCCGGATTATATAATTTTTCGACAGGTTACCTTTTCTGTGGTTAGACATCCTGGTACTCGGTCAAGTAAGAGCAACCAAAAGAAGAAAAATCAAACACATAATCCGTGCAATTGGACGGGGAAAGCTTTCTGTTTTCTGATGATTTTATCGTGTTAAGAAAATATAAAGCAGTTAATTTCCTCCATAAATTGTATCGATTAAAAGCCTGATTTTACTTTTTTACGTTGCTCTTACTTGACCGAGTACCAGGATGTCTTACCACAGAGTAACCTGTCGAAAAAATATCAACTCCAGAATCAAAAGTCGGTAATAATTACAAATATCCCTTTTTATTTCCATTGAAAAGAACTGGGTTTACTGTAAGGCAGTGCGAGGCTTTTGATAAAACCTCGAAAGCTTTGAGTATAAAACTAATAACAATGTTAATATTACTTACGCACATTTAGCTTGACATTCATTTGAATATTGGCTACGATCGATACCACAAACAGGAGTGACGTCAGAAGGACAGGTACAACATGGACATTTGTGGTCACATGACACTTCAACATCCCTATAGAATCGTCAGCAATATTAAAGACATGTAAAAAAAAATATAGTTCTTACTACACGACGTTAATTATGTCAGTTACGTGTATATATTCGAGATAGTAAATAAATTTCAAAATTTGCAAATCTAAATATGGAAAGTGTAAGTATTACAATCAATTAAGTAATAGAAACTATTTCTCAAATGACTTAAGGAAAACTCCGAGTCAAGTGTTCCGAAGATGATAGAACTATTTCTCAAATGACTTTAGGAAAACTCTGAGTCAAATGTTCCGAAGATGATAGAACTATTTCTCAAATGACTTAAGGAAAACCCTGAGTCAAATGTTCCGAAGACGATAGAAATTATTTCTCAAATGACTTAAGGAAAACTCCGAGTCAAATGTTCCGAAGATATGATAATTTACTCCGCTGATATTTTATTTTAACGGGAATGTTGATGATCTATGGTTGCTTACATTTATGTCATTTGGTCTCTGGTGGATAATTGTCTCATTTGCAATCATACCTCATCTACTTTACCTATGCAATAGTTTCAGTATAAACTATAGTCCACCTCACACAAGTATTGTTGACCTTTTTAATTAAAAGTTTCTTGTTTTTTGTGTTTACGTTTGTATTATAGTTTTAATTCACAAAGGTTTTGCTTTTTTCGTTCAACAAATACAATTTCAGCGTATATGATGAAATGAATCTAAGAGAAACCAACATGATAAGCCCTAAAACTGATATATGGACAGTTTGTGATTTGCCAACTGCAAGATATGCAATATGCATTTTAAACTTTTGATAATTAATTCATAAATGTAGACCATACAACATCATAGTCAAGGTGTTCTGCAAGTTTAATTAATTTATTTATTTCTATTGATTACTATTTTCCGTATTTTGACAACTCTGAACCTACAGTTTATTTTTACTGGACTCACTTGCATGACGCTAAACAAGTATTAGCATATGTTTTACCATCTACACCACATACTGGATGATAATTTCTCGGACACATACACTTCTTACAAGGACATTTCCCTGTGCATAGTACAGTTGTTTTGCTGTAAAATAGTAAAGACATGGGTCCAGGGTATATTCATGAAAACTTATAAACACAAAGCAAAAACTTCATAAAAGGTCTTGTTATGTTAATATTCTGTTTTTGAATGACCAAAAACAAGTTCAAACATATGCTGATGTTCAACACTTTTCTATTTTTTTAGACCATATGTCTTTATCTTTGCTTTCTTGTTATCACTTTCTTCTAAGTTCATACAACATGTACCATGAATGCAATTTTAATGAAAATGAATGACAGGATATATTTTTTCCCTTTTCCCCTGATTGGCTGTCGTCCCTAGTTACGCGTTGCACTCATCTTGCTAAACATTTTTAAAGTTCCCATATCAAGTGAGGTGGCTAGAACGCACCAATAGCCAACACAAGACATATATGGCATCAAAATTCACCTGGCCATGCCATACCTTGTGACACATATTCGGTTCGTTAAAATTACAACTTTTATCATAACAAGTCATCTGGGACTATTTTACTAACAGTATGCATGTAGTATAATAGTCCCAGGTCGTTTTTCTCATTTCTTTATATTTTAGCATTTAAATATTCTCTATTCTTTATTCTTTTGGCCTATTTTTCTCTATTATTTTTTTTGTGTCCATTTTTGTCTATTCTTTATCTCCCCCCCCCCATTTTTCTGTAGATTTGGCCCATTATTCTCTATTCTGTAAGCCCCATCCTGACCCTCGTATATAAAATTTTCGTCTTATTTAGCCAAATACATAGATCGGTGATATAAATACATAGATCGGTGATATAAATACATAGATCGGTGATATAAATACATAGATCGGTGATATAAATACATAGATCGGTGGTATAAATACATAGATCGGTGATATAAATACATAGATCGGTGATATAATAAGTGACCAATGGCTCACATTTCGTCTCATGCCAACAAAAATAGGACCAACCATCGCTTGAATTTGTAGATTATTTATAATCATTTATATTTAAACAAGCAAACTGTAGAATAACACAAACTTAATATAATGCTATATATGATTTGTAAATACCTGCAAGCAGCTTTACATTTGTTGACATACGTCTTACCATTGATGCCACATACAGGTTCGTATTGGAGTGTACACTGACATGGAGGTTTTACGGTGGTGAATGATCCTACAGGACAGGGACAACGATGGTAACATTTAGTCTTAACCTCCCTAGAAAACAAGGGAATGTCTCAACTACTTTTGAATCCACATTCGAGGTTCTTTGTTATGACATTATGAATAATTTTTCATAAAAATAATTATTTAGTAATTAATTCGGCATGTTTATATTCCCAAACCTGTTGTCTGGTACACTGTGCTTATACTCCAACTCTAAAGAGCCGAAAATAGTCGTCTGTTCTGAAATTTACTGAATATAACCTGTCCTTTATCATGCCATTTTACTAAATCTGGATTCGAAAAGCGGTTGACGCTTACCAAGTCGACACACCTTGCCTCGCTCCCTTTAAGTCCATTCGATACCATCTTGGTTAGCAAGATATCATGATTCATTTATACTCGGAATATGTACTACAAATGTATATGCAAATTTTCATTAAAGTTCGATCTGCATTGGCATATTTACGATTACGCACATTTAGCATAACATGGCATACTTGCGCACATTTAGCATGGCATACTTACGCACATTTAGTATATCATGGCATACTTACGCACATTTAGCCTAACATGGCATACTTGCTCACATTTAGCATGGCATACTTACGCAAATTTAGCATATCATGGTATACTTACACACATTAAGCATAACATAGCATACCAACTCAAATTTAGCATATCATTGAATACTTACGCACATTCAGCCTAACATGGCATACTTACGCACATTTGTTATAACATGGCATATTTACGCACATTCAGCCTAACACGGCATACTTACATGTATGCACATTTAGCATAGAATAGCATACTTAGGCACATTTATCATAATATGGCATACTTACGCACATAACATGGCTTATTTATGCACATTTAGCATAACATGGCATACTTACGCACATTTAGCAAGGCATAATTACGCACATTAAGCATAACATTTCATACTTACGCACATTTAGCAAAGTACGGCATACTTACACACATTTAGCATAAGCTAGCATGACATGTTTACGCATATTTAGCCTAAAATGGCATACTTACGCATATTTAGCATAACAAGGCATACATGTACTTACGCACATTTAGCATAACATAGCGTAATTACGCACATAAAGCATAGCTTGGTATACTTACGCACATTTAGCATAACATTCATTATAGTATGTCTTATTATCCTCTCCACACACATCACTTTTGTATGGTGAACATTTACATGCACATGGACATTTTCCCTTACAAGATACTGTAACTCCTCTGTAAAAAAATCAACCATGTTTTTAATTTATAAAATTCATGTACATGTATTAGAATAACCGTTGCAGTTCAAGGAGTACAAAAGTCAATATTCAAAACAACTAAACGTTTTTTTTTTTTATTTTTATTGTATGTAAATTGTATTTCTCTAAAAATACTAGAAGTATAGACATTGAGTTGAAAGTTCACTTCTTGGTTAAAGATATATTGTTCATACTCTTTCACGAGTTCGTATTCTTCATATTTTTTTAAACTTCTTTTAAAATCTTTATGAAATCGGTTCGACAAAACATCTACGGATCATATAATTCATTCAGTCTTTTCTCGTGTTTCATGTTTCTAAGGAATGAATAACAAAAAGAACAAAAAACAAAATAAGAAGTGATTAACTTTCATTTGATGATAATAAAAACCTTTAAATGACAAGTTCGAACGCAATGTACCGTATACATTTTGTCTTCATTTTGGGGAAATTTTTGCTGCATTGTCAATTCAATATATCTCATTTTATGTTGATAATTCACATTCTAATCTGATTACTTAGTACTTAGTTAGTTTTATAGCTGTTTTCAGTATTCCAAAGTAGACACGCTTACGTTATACAAAATACATTGACCGTTTGTTTTCTTACTTGCAATTTGCTGTACATGTATTATCGTACGTGACGTCATCTGATCCACACACAGGCTGATACACAGCAGGACAGACGCATTTCTGTTTACAGGGACACTCGTTATCACACTTTATAGGGACATTTCTGAAATCAATTAAGGCATTTATTCATATTTTGTTTGATAATCTTTAGACTTATACTACACTTTTTGCTGTAAAGTTTGAACATTTTATGTTTCCTTTTCTCTGCCAGACTTTTGATCTTTCTGTGTTGTGATGTGTTTTCTTTAACGTTGTTAGTTTTGTTTACATTTTTTTTCTTTTGGAAATGGTGGATGACTGTTTTTCTATTGATGATTTTTATTGTCCCCTAAACTAATGTATATTGCTTACTTGCATGAAGCTCGACACTGGTTGCTGTAAGTGTTACCATCAGTACCACAAACAGGTTTATATATGGCTGGACACACACAAGATGGAGCACACGGACACTTTTTATTACACTTAATTGGCATCTTTCTGAAATTATATATTTTAAATTCATATAAAGGATAGAAGGAATCACAAAAACGTTTCTCGTTTTTTATATAGATTAGACCGTTGGTTTTCCCGTTTGAATGGTTTTACAATAGTAATTTTTTGGGGCCCTTTATAGCTTACTGTTCGGTGTGAGCCAAGGCTCCGTGTTGAAGACCGTACTGTGACCTAAAATGGTTTACTTTTATAAATTTTGACTTGGATGGAGAGTTGTCTCATTGGCACTCATACCACATCTTCTTATATCTATAGACAGTAGGACAGACAACATAAATCAAACTCCCGACTCCTAAAAAATAAATCGGACGTTTAGAACAACGCATGGTCAAGATATCTGGACTTGGTACATGCCATACTTGGTTTGATTAAACCAGTTTTACGCGCGCACAAACTTTTCCCTTTGACTAACTAGATACTCTGCGCAGTATAGCTACCAAGAAGATGATCAATACATGAAATATAACTTTGACAGTAATATGTAGTATATAAAAAATAATTCATAACAAAAATCTGCATCCCATATTTCAACTTGAGAAGAATAGAACAGCTCAATAATTACCGGGGGTTGATAGTCTGTAGTATTTGGTCCGGGTTTCAATATGTAGTATGACTGTTTAGAGATGTACGAAATAGACCTTATTTTGCATGATAGTTTTAGAGAAAAAAGTAACAAAAATAGGTTAATAGCCTGGCCATTCAGGTATTATGATAGAACTAAAGACCCCCTCTGCTAGTTGATCTAGTGGAGATCTTCTTTAGCTCAGTTTGTAGAGTGGATGTTTTTGGCGCAGAAGGTACGGGGTTCGGACCTAACCCGGGATGCTGCAGAATTGCAAAAAAGACCTTACTTTGCAGGTTAATTCTAGAGATGTACGAAAGATAGGTTATTTTGCAGGATAATTCTACAGATGGATGGAATATACCTTATTTTGCAGGATAATCCTAGAGGTGTGCGAAGAATACCATATTTTGCAAAAGAATTCTAGAGATGAACGCAATACACTTTTTTTTTTTTATAATCCTAGAGATGTAAGATATATACTTTATGTTGCTGGATAATTCTAGAGATGAACGAAATGGACCTTATTTTGCTGGATGGAGGTTTGTGTTCTATATCAAAAGAACCAGTATAAAGCAGACATTATTACTTTGGGGCATAAAATAAATCTTGAAATGCATCAAGTCATATTGGCTATTTTTCTAATACACGTACTAAAGTATATGCTTTTAACGATCACTGCTATATTTCTGAATCGTTTTTTAGTTTCAATAATCCGTTTCTGAAGGTTATTATATTCTAAATATTCACAATTTTGCACACTGTTTTAAAATGGTTGTTTTACTCCAATTTAAACAAATGAACACCATAGAAGTTCATTTTCGTGTGCTGTTGAATTCTGTCTCATTGACTTATACCCCATCCCCTCAATATTTTCATATAATATATATTTAGCTTACTTGCATCTGGCTTGACATTCGTTGTCGTACGTGTCACCGTCCGTTCCACAAACAGGTTCATACACTTCTGGACAAACACAGGATGGAGTACACGGACATTCACGATGACATTTTATAGACACCTTTCTAAAACAATTAAAGATTCCCAAAACCAACGTACATGTAAACTCTTTGCTCTTTTACTTATTATGTTAGTTAACTAATTTCACCAGATCTGGTATTTGTTTTGAATATAGTTTTTTGTTATCCGAGTTGTGGCAGCCACGAAGATATGAGACGACTACACGAGACGGGTACATGTATACAGAATCTAATGCACATAGAAGTAATACATAACCATTTTATTTTTTTCTCTCATTCTAAAAAGAGCAATAATTGTTTTGATAAATCATGGGACACAGATGATGCCCCGCTTGCATATAACAGTATAAAGGGACACAACTCAAGATCCGAGTTTTGTGATAATAAGCGTTGTGTGTAAGTTTCATAACATTTGGTTGAGGCAAACTTAAGTTAGAGAACGGAAACGAAAAAATCAGGAACTTTTCCATTTGTAAAGGAGCATAACTCTAGAACGATAAAAGCGATGCCCCCAAATTCAAACTTGGTCTCTGTTTTGGGGTAATAAGCATTGTGTATAAGTGTCATAACATTTGGTTGAGGCAAACTAAAGTTAGAGAACGTAAACTAATTTTTGGACGTAAGTACGGACGTACAGACGGACAAGGGTAACACTTAATGTCCCCTCCGCTGCGGCGTGGGCATAATAAAACAGGAATCGTTACACTTTCAGAAGATGTTTTATAGTTACGTATTTGGAATGAAATCTTAATTGCTTCTCTTTTTCGGTCATCAAATTGATAGCTTATCACTGCTTTTGTGATATGAATTGATCACTCTTCTATCTTGTCTTTTTTGGTTTAATTGCCACAAACCTGAACTTATATGTAAAGGTTTATTATAAGGTGAACTTAGGATCACAACTAACATGTTTGCAGTCGAGATACGAATTTTTTTTTATACTAGAACACTTATTGGTTGCCTCAAAGTTAAAAAAGAGACTGCTGATCAAACTTATATTAGATTTATCGCCCCTGAGGTCAATTAACGCATCTATATTTTTTTCGATTTCAAATCATGATCAGTCATCTTGTTTATAATGATTTCAACAATTTTACACAACACTCGTTATATTATCAAATACTGAATATTATTACCGACAATTTGCAGTACACTTGTTGGCATACGTCTGACCATTGGTTCCACATACTGGTTTATATTCCGTAGAACATCCACAGTTACATGGACACCGATCTGGACATTTTATCCCAACATTGCTGTTGATTTGAAAAAGAGCATTGCTCATAGAATATAAAATAATGAAAGAGTACAAAAGAAGAAATTACTACAATAGCTCTACGTTTTAGAAATACAAAATGTTAAAACTAAAACCGCTTTAAGATAGAGGAAGATAAACATAATTGTGTTATCTGGTTTTATTCAGTTGGTGCACGTGTCACTATGACAGCAACCAAACGATTCCTTTCATTCATCTCTCAAACAGAAGATTAGAATCAAATATATTCAAGATTGACATGCTAAATCTAGTTTCAAACTCAAAAAAAAATCTATCGCAGTAAAATGATTTATTGATTTATTCCTTCTGCAGAAAAAGAGTTTAATTGCGTTGAGATCTCATAAACATGTTTAACCCCGCCGCATTTTTGCGCCTGTCCCAAGTCAGGAGCCTCTAGCCTTTGTTAGTCTTGTATTATTTTTAATTTTAGTTTCTTGTGTACAATTTGGAGTTTAGTATGGCGTTCATTATCACTGATCTAGTATATATATTTGTTTAGGGGCCAGCTGAAGGACGCCTCCGGGTGCGGGAATTTCTCGCTGCATTGAAGACCTGTTGGACAGGTGATCTTCTGCTGTTGTCTGTTCTATGGTCGAGTTGTTGTCTCTTTGACACATTCCCCATTTCCATTCTCAATTTTATTGTGTAACATTATAACACATAAAAGAGATAACAGGAATCGTCAAATATACCACACGGAACATCCAACCACATTCACCAACAAACTCCGTACAGTAATCGTTTCCGTTCCGGAACTATTTTCCTATATTCAATTAGTGTAGAGTAGTATGCGGATCGGAGCTTGAACTGCCGGGGAGTTTGATTCACCAAAAACACTGCTCCTCCGAAGAAATCAAACAAAAAAAAAACAAACCGACAAACAAACAAAGACAAACAATAACGGACAACACATGGTCTAGATAGTCTGTCTTGTAAAACATGATAGTTATCATTTTTTTTAATATAGTTATAAAAATAAGGAGATGTGGTATGATTACCAATGAGACAACTATCCACCAAAGTTTTAAAAAAGTGGATGTAAGCCATTATAGGCAATCGTACGGCCTTCAACAACGAGAAAAACCCATACCGTATATTCGGCTATAAAAGGCCCCGACATGAAAAATATGAAACAATTCAATTGATAAAACTAACGGCCTTATTCATAGCAAAACAATCATCGAAAAACAAGTATGACAGACATGAACCAACGACAACCACTGAACTACAGGCTCCTAACTTAGGAAAGGCACATAAAGAATGTGGCGGGGTTATACATGTTCGTGAGCGTTCAACCCTCCCCTAACCTAGGACAGTGGTGTAACAGCACAAAATAAGAACATACTATAAAAATCAGTTAAAAAAGGCTGAACTCATCAGATCGATACAAAGCAGAAAAACATCAAACATAAACACAGACCGGACGTGGCAGGGTATTTATCCACCCCTCATCCCTAACAACAGAAAGGACACTAAGTACAGATCTGAGAGTACTCGCAATTGCTGACAGCTAGTTCTAAGCCAATAACAACTAATACCTTTTTATATTTGTTCTAATGAACTTTTTAACGCATACTACAAACAAGCTTATTTATATGTTCGCATCACTATAATTTTCTTTGGATTTGTTGTAAGACATAGAACTTTAAAAAAGTAAACTTCAAGATAACAAATACAAATGTCTTTCCATTACATAAAAATGAAAATATAAATGTTAGATAAAACTTTAAGTTTCGAAAAATGCAAATCTATAGACTTACCTGCATTTAGCATGACACTCGCTGTCATACGTTTTATCATCAGTGCCACAAACAGCATTGTAGGTTTTAGGACAGTCACATGGTTCTGGACAAGGACACTCAGTCTTACATTTAACAACTGTATTACTGGAAACAAAGTTTGCATTTGAAATATTCATATGGACCATATCTATAACTAAAGTTATAATTTTTATTCTTTTTATATCGTGTGCATTTGTTTTGATTTTAGATCAATTTTAAATTTTCTTATGAAAACCTTTCACAATCGGTCCTGACGGTCTGGACGTGGTTTACAGATACAAAATAGAGAATACTGGGCCTGTTATACAGAAAAATGGAATTAAAAAAAGAATAAGAAAAAAAAAGTCCACAGAAGAAAAGAATAGTGGGGTGTTAAAATATAAACAACAGAGAATAATGGGCAAAATTTATAAAGAATAGAGAAAAATGGCTAATAGTGAAGGATCCCAACAATCCAGACATCGGTCATGTGTTAGGATGTATTGAAAATTTGGTTGAACCCCTTTAAAAAGTTAGTTTAGACAGTTACAAGTTGCAAAATGATTTACTAATCAGCTACTTTTTAAAACATCGACTCCACTTTTCAAAGTAGAACCCCCTATAACCCTTCTGTTAAAAAAATGCTATGACTTGTGCTTGCCTTGTACTTTTTCCATTTTCCTATGTACGTGTAAGCCTTGGTTTCTTACATTCGGTTTCTACTTTGAAGGTATATTACTAGTCTCTTCATTCTGCGTGTGTCAAAATAATCCAAAAGAAACATCATGAAAAACATTTGTTTTGTTAATATACAGAATGATGATGCATCGAGCAACACTACTGACGATGCGTCGAGCAACATTACTAACGATGCATCCAGCAACATTACTGACGATGCATCGAGCAACATTACTGACGATGCGTCGAGCGACATTACTGACGATGCGTCGAGCAACATTACTGACGATGCATCCAGCAACACTACTGACGATGCATCGAGCAACATTACTGACGATGCATCCAGCAACATTACTGACGATGCATCGAGCAACATTACTGACGAGTGTAAATTAATTTTCCATTTTTACTCTTTTCTGCTCAATTTCTTTTCACTGTAGCCGACCCTGTACAATTCGAACTTAAATCTAAAACTGATATTTACCTTAATCTAGCGTAACATTCATTGTCATATGTCTTGCTATTCGTTCCACAAACAGGTTCATATTTTTTAGAACAGTATTCAGTCTTTTTACATGGACATTTTGTATGACATTTAACTGGAACTTTCCTGCAATGTTATGAAGAATATTTGTTTTAATCTCTGTTACTTCATTCTAAATGCCATAATCTCAAGATCTATACCATATTCAAGCAAAAATCCGAACACACCGTCAGTGATCATCCTTTTAAAAATAAGGAGATGTGGTATGATTGCCAATGATACAACCATCCACCATTTATAGATAATTATATGTTTGTTTTGATACTCATTTTCTTTTTCTTTTACTTTTCTTTTACTGTTTTTGTTTTACTTTCTTTATTTTTGTCTTTTTGTTTCTTTTTTCTGTTTTTTGATAGATAAACAAAGGATATGGGGTATCCATCCATAACACAAAATTAGTACATGCACAACAAAAAACACACACACAAAGCAAAGGAACAGCGCTTTAATTACTTTTCTTCATCTCAAAGTCAAAGTGAGGCCTTGAGACAGTTAGTGTCTTTTATAGGTTTCTTTCTTTCTTTCTTTTTGTTTAGTTTTTGATCTTTTGGGACGAAGAGGGGGCTGTGATTTTTGTTCTTTGTGATATTATTATGCTTCGTCAGCTGCTTAAAACAGGAATGATCAAAACATTTTTTTCGTAAAAACTAAATGCTTTATTATTATTAAAAAATAAACAGCTTACTATACATGATATAATTTTTTTTTACAAGTGAACAAATCTGTGATAATTGCAAAATTGGAAAAAAATGAATACGCAAGCTTAATTGTAGTAAATAAATATACGGCCTTCAACAATGAGAAAAAACATTACCGTATAGTCGGCTATAAAAGGACCCAAAATATGAAATAATTTAATTGAGAAAACTAACGGCCTACTCTATAAAATAAACAAATGTTGTCTTTTCTCATATCCAAATAATACATGATTGTCAACTGTTAAATTCACTACAATTTTTTTTTTACACTGGGTATGATTTCGAGCTGCACATATTGTTCGAACTCCTGATATTTATTTTTGAAGCCTGTATGTTGACCTCTATAGATGTACTTTACTTATTTGCGTTGCTGGTATCTTATTGTCGTATACCGCACATCTCGTTTTGTTCACAATAACAAATACATTTTCTCTTAAGCAAATGTAGACATATATATATAAAGTCCAATAGCATACATACATTTTTAAAAGAGAGGTGATAGATAACAAAGGGACATTCAAACTCATTAGTCGAAAATAAGCCGACAACGCCATGATGAAATAAAGGAAAAGACCAAAAGACATACACCAGTATACAAAACACAATATAGAAAACTAAAGACTCGGCAACACGAACCCCATCAAAAAACGTGGTGATCTCAGGTGCTCCGGAAGTGTAATCAGATCCTGCTCCTTATATGGCACCACAACAGTCTTTCTGCATATTCGTATTTTAAAATATCATCTACGAGTGCCAATTTAACGCTTTTGGGGGATTCAACACACGTACAATATCTATTCAAGGAAAAAACCTGACACTCGATTTATCAGCTAGCATTTGTCAAATCTGTGTGGTTTTCTTAATCGAAACAATAGATATTCTCCCTTTGACAATATAACCGAAAACTTAAAAATTTCGGGTCAAACATTGCACTAGTTTCACGATGAGTTGAACAGGATGGTAAAGTCATAAGGTGTACCGATAAGATGCTATCAACATGATTAGGTTTTATGCAAATGAGATATACTAATACTTACTTGCAGGAAGCGAAACATGTGTTTTGATATGATTTACCATTAGCACCACAAACAGGATTATATTCTTTAGGACATTCACATTTCTTACACGGACATTTCCCTGTACAGGATACACGCACTTTTCTTAAATGTAATTAAATCCTTATTAAGCATAATTGGTAACTGTGGTAAAACAGTGAATCAAAGAGCTTAAGAGCTCTGAGGGAAAAGACGGCCATTGTTTCTATTTTTTTTTTGGGTATCTTTTGATAGTATTCATACAAAGAATGAGCAAAAGAACAGCTAGAACATGCAGAAAGGTTGACAATATTGAAATTAATTATTGTTTAATGTAATTTCATTTCCTTAGTCAAGAATTCATCATGGAGTCAATTTGGACCAATGGAAGAGATTGGCACCTTCTAAATCAAAACATTTGATGAAAGTTGAAAGTTAATTATCTAAAATTCAATTGAATTCTATCATTTAATAACTTCTTCCATATATTCAAATTTTTTTTGTGTACCACTTAACTTCAGGCTAGGGTCATTCTCCATTTTTTTGTGACAGTGCTCTAAGATTTTTAATTGATTACAACTGTCTCAAGAAAGTGAGGACTGAAAAGTCTATTTAGTTTTAAATTTCCATTGATAAAGTTCCCAGTTACAACTCTCATCACAGGGATACATGTACTTACAAAAATCAATCAGATTGATATAAGCTGTGTGCAGCTTGTTTCAAGATCCTACATTTTGATATATGTAATTTCATGAATACATATGTTTAAACTACAAAAAGCAACATTTGAAAATTTTATAATTTTTTTACCATTATGCTGGTACACAAAATTTTGTTGAAATGGAAGACTACTTATCATATAATAAATGTCAAATTTTAAGTGTTCAGATACATTAACTTTTATTTTGGTGGATAATTACTCATCAATTGAGGTCCTCCTGTATTGGAGGAAGATTCTCAATACAGTGACAGAAAGAATGAAAACTGTCGTTTTTCTCCCCAATCTCATGTATCCCCATTGTTTACCGCGAAAGTTGGCCTACAAATTAAAGCATTGATGTTGGAATCATCTACAGCAAACATAATTATGTTTAAATAAACAAATACCGATTTTGAAATCGTACACTATTTCTGTGAATGATTTTAATAATGAGTAAAGGATATCCCTTCTTCTACGTAGTGTGGAATTCCAACCATGACGTCACTAGGTTGGATATATTTAGAATATTTCGTAATACTGATTTTTCCGGATTGTAAAAGAAACGTAAATAGTGTAAGGGAGAGCTCAAGATACGATGATTTCACGAGAAACAGAAGGGAAATGTGTAAAAAAAGTGTTTAAAGTCAATCTGTTCATTTGTGTGTCTCCTCATCAATTTAGTATGAAATTTTGAGGTGTTTTCCCAACTATAAAAACAAAATGATTGACATGAGAAGCTTGGAAGTCTGGCCAACCAAATAGGGAATTGACGGCTTGAAGCCGTCTTTCCCCAATAAAAATTGGTGGCAGATCGTTCTTTGTTTCTGTTTATTTTTTTTACAACTTAATTATATAGACTTAGGAAGATTTATAGCTTGAATATAAAAAATGTAGAATAGATACCCGAGTTTCTATTAATGAAGACAACTGTATGTTGCTCTTTGGATGTCTTTTGGTTGTTTTTGTCGTTGAGTTACTGTCTTATTGATGTAAACCAACATTTCCTTTATCTTAATTTTTTAAAGTACAAGTCAAAACATCTTATATCGTTCTGTGAAAGTTTCTGTGATTTTTTTTATTAAAAAAAAGATGCGCATGCGTCAACTATAAGCCAACCACCGGTTTAGGCTAAGCGTACAGACACACCAAGCAACCAACACGCATCATATGACAGGAGTTGCTGGGTTCTTGTCCCGTTGACAAATACCCCACATCTAATTTAGTTTACTTTTTTTCCCCAAAATCAATTGTAGACATGACATTCAATAGTATATCTTCTTACTAATATGTACTCACGCGCATTTTGCATAGCATTCATTTGAATATTGTTTCCCATTAGTCCCACAGACTGGTGTTATGTCAGCCGGGCATTCACAACATGGGCATTTGTGGTTACACGAGACTTTTACGTTTCTAGAAAATCAGAAAAAAAAACTATGAAAAGGAAAATCATAAACTGTAGGTCGCAGAATACGGTCAAAACTATGATACCCCCCCCAAAACCCCCCCCCCCCCCCGAAAATAACACTTTACAAAAAAATACAAAGAGAAATACAGGATTGAGGACAAAAACGCTACATATCGTGTTCCAATTGCATCACCCGTCGTGTTATGAAAACATAAGTGAAAAGCTTAATATCACAACAGATTGACGATTTTGAAAATAAGCCATACATTATAGTGCTTTGACGTTTTTGGCATTAGGCCATACATTATGGTGATTCGGAAAATTCCACAAACTCATGACCAATAAATAAAGATTAGAACAAGCAAATTCAGAATTGCAATACAAGTTTACAGGTGTACTACGTAAATATAAAAATAAGAAGATGTGGTATGATTGTCAATGAGACAACTCTCCACAAGAGACCAAATGACACAGAAATTGACAACTATAGGTCACCGTACAGCCTTTAACAATGAGCAAAGCCCATACCGCATAGTCAGCTATAAAAGGCCCCAAAATGACAAATGTAAAACTGTTACAATTCAAACGAGAAAACTTACGGCTTAATTTATGTACAAAATAATGAACGAAAAACAAATATGTTACACAGCAACAAACTACGTAACTCTATACTTCTCGGGGTAAAATGATAATAGAGACGGGTTTTCATCCATATTGTCTGGTTTATTACAATATTCAATCCCAAAGATTGATCTGATGGGTCGTTTGAACTCTAATTTCCGTATGCTATTTATCACCAGTGTTGGTTTCATCGTTGGGCGGTACCGATTATCTAACCCGAATAATTCAGTCCCTCCCCGTCATCGACTCTCCCACTCGTTAATGTAGCAACCGTAGAGCAGCGGAAAATGTCGACTGGATGATTACCTGGTAACCGATTATCAGGTTTTCTGCCTATTAATATTGTGTAAAATGCCATTCCAAGTATGAAGCTTTTTAGGAGAATGAGCAATCGGTGCGTTATATATTTTAGAATAAGACATGATATAATGGTTCATTTATGAGTTTTTTATAATCACAAACGGTAGTTTTTCTTTCTTTGACAAGAAACCTTAATATTTTCGGGTCTAACATCTCATGAGATTTAACGCTAGCTTAGCAGGATGGTAAAAGCACAGGGTGTACCTAAAATATGTTATTAACATGCTAATGTTTGATGTAAATGGTATATACTAAAACTTACTTGCAGGAAGCGAAACATGTGTTTTGATATGATTTACCATTATCGCCACAAACAGGATTATATTCTTTAGGACATGCACATTTTTTACATGGACATTTTCCTGTACAGGATACGGGCACTTTTCTGAAATACAATTAAATCCTGATTTAGCATAATGGGTAACTATGGCATTACAGTAGATAGAAGTTAGTGGCAGATCTTTTATGTTTTCTGTTTAATTCATTTACAACATTTAAAGACTCGGGGCGATTTATAGCTAGTAGATAAATATAAGAAGATGTGGTATGAGTGCCAATGAGACAACTCTCCATCCAAGTCAAAATTTATAAAAGTAACCCATTATAGGTCAAAGTACGGTCTTCAACATACTAGTATAGACACTTTGTCTATTATTGAAGACTGCCTGTTGTCCTTTTGGACGTCTTTTGGTTGTTTTTCTCATTGATTTATACCCAGCATTTACCTTTATCATAACTTTTTAAAGTACAAAACACATTATATCTTTCTGTGCAAGTTTTGAGCGTCATGAACAGTCAGAGAAAAACATGACCTTGTGCAATACCAAGATACAGGTATCGACAGATTGTAGAGCCATGAGTGTGCATATATATAACAATAATATTTAGTTTGATTTTAATTTACTAATAACAAAATCAATATTAATACCAATAAAACAATATTCAAAGATCTAATTACAGTGTTGAATTGGTAACCTTGCATATGTCAACTATACAGCTAACCACCGATACAAGTTAATAGATTTAAGGTAAGCCTACAAACACAAACGTTGGAAATCATCTGATAGGCACAAGCTCACACAGGTTTAGACAAGCCATGAATATATCAAGCAAACAATCAAATATCTGACACCAGCATTGGATTCTAAGGAGATGATACCACTTTGCAACCACCCCATGAATACGTTACAAACCTTTTTCATACGGTAAGTTAAAAAATCACAGTACGACAAGGGGTACATCTATACTAACTGTTTTCAATATAGTATTTCAAGAATGCATTTTACTTCTAAACATAACAATAGAATAATTGATTTAACCCCCAAAAAATAAAATAAATCATAAGATGTTATTCTCAATCGACAAAAAGAAAAAATATCAACGATTTACTTCCGCAACTTTGTAAACTTTTACTTCAAAGTTTTTCAATTAAAATATATGTTGCTAAACTTTTTTTAATCAGTAAAGTATCATTATTTCGATGCCCACATGACGACAAGCAAATCAGTAAGAAAAGTTTGAATCTGAGTTACATCGATCAATATAGACATTAAAAGTTCTATATACAGTGAAACCTGTCTAAAACGAATCTTGAATAAACCGAAAACCTGTCTAAACCAAACATGTTCTTAAGTCCAATCATAACAACTTTTATGAGTTGTGAACCTGATATAACCGAACATCTACCAAAACCGAACAAAATCTTAAGAGGTTCGGTTAAGACAGCTTCGACTGTACAAAGATACCTACCTACAATTTGCTTTACACTTGTTGATGTATGTTTTACCGTTGGCCCCACACACAGGTTTGTACTGTCGACTACATCGACAAGGAGGCTTCACGTGTTTGTAAGATCCATAAGGACAGGGACAATGCATGTAACACTTGGTTTTCACCTCTCTACAAATACATGGTGTAGTTTACGTTTGAAAATCTGTATTTTATCATGATCCATATGTAGAGCATAGTCAAATTTAGATGTGTGTTGCATTATACTGTTTATGTGTACATATAAAAATAAGAAGATGTGGTATGATTGCCAATGAGACAACTCTCCACAAGAGACCAAATGGCACAGACATTAACAACTATATATCATCGTACGGCCTTCAACAATGAGTAAAACTTATACCGCATAGTCAGCTATAAAAGGCCCCGAAAAGACAAATGTAAAACAATGCAAACGAGAAAACTAAGAGCCTGATTAGACGGATAATTAAGAGAATCCTCTTTATTATTTTTAAATGAAATTCTTGTAAATGTTATAAAAATAATCAAAACATTTTCATTATATAATGGAGACTAACAGAGATGTCAATTGGTATCCTGCCTTCAGCTTACTAGTGCTTACATTCAATACAATTTAGATTTAATGCAATCTTTCTACTATGGTATACACAAGAGTTTGCTGTTCTGTCATTCTGGTATACATATTCAAAATAAACATTTTATTGTTGCAAAGTTTGCATGATTATAGTATATTCACAAGACAAACATCTGTTTTTTTTTTCTTTCTATAATTCGAATTTGACATTTGTGCGTTCATCATTCGGGTAAGACAACTGAGTTTTAGTCGAGCATAATTAAGCATATCTGCCAGCACAAACATACCAACATGACTTACGTATGCAAAGTTGGCGAAACATTAGTTCCAGTATGGCTTACTGACGCATATTTGCCAAATCATTACTTTCAGTATGGCATATTTACGCACATTTGGCAATACATTCGTTTCTGATTAGATGACTTATGCAGATTTGGCAAAACATTCGTTTCTGTATGGCTAACTTATGTAGATTTGGCAAAACATTAATTCCAATATACCTTACTTACGCACATTTGGCAAAGCATTCGTTCCAATATGTTTTATCATCTTGACCACAAACTTGTCGTCTTTGCTGGGAACATTTGCATCCACATGGACAGTTTCCCTTACACGATACCGCAACACCTCTGTAAATCATACAAATAATCTGTCGTCTTACAAGAAAAAAGCAGATATCAAAAAGAGCAACAAAAAAAACAGATTTTAAAAATGATGAGGCTTGATCAAATCAGAAATGCTTTGCCATTATGGGAACTCACTTTATCATTTGAACTCCCAAACAAATCGACAAGAACGTTAACAGTTTATACACAAAATCTGTTTCAGTGAATAATTAAACGTCAGAAATAAATATTCATAATTGAAAAACATCAATTCAGACATATCCTCTTTTCAATTATAAAGCGTACATCTATGTGTCCACAAAAGAATAAGCAAACCAGAAATGACCTCTCATTGTATCAAAATCAAATACTGACCTCTAGATGTCCTTTAGGGTTTTGTATCGTTGGGTATCTGTCTCTTTGATGTAAATCTTATACCCCGTTTTATTCATGTATAACATCGACCTCCATATTTCTAAATTGGTTTTTAAAATAGATTGGTTGGCATCTCGTTTAATTCTGAATATACTAGTACACTACCTAATCGTTGTCTTTATGATTATTTTTGTTATTTGGCTACTGTCTTGATGGCGTATATCACTACAAACTTGTAAAGGTCTGAAATGGCCTGTACTGGACTGTATCGATATTTACTCGACCAGTCTGAATTGGTCTGAAATTTACTTGATATTACTCGAATGTAGCCTGAACCATACTTAACAGTCTGAACTTGTACTCGACCAGTAATTAACAATTTTACATGCGTCTGATCCATACTCGACATAGTCTTAACTATTCTTGACCAAGTCTTACCATGCTCGACCAAGTCTTACCATGCTCGACCTAGTCTGAACCATACTCGACCAAGTCTTAACCATACTCGACAAAGTCTTAACCAACCTAGACCTACTATTTGTATCTATCTATTGTATTTCATCAAATTTAATTTAAGAACTGTTATACATACACACACATATATATATATATATACAAATTGAATGTATATCTACGGAGCCCTTTTGGTCTCACACAGATTATAAAGTGTCTTTTAAAGTCCTGCGCTGAAGATTTGTAAAGTCTAGCGCTGGAGATGTAAAGTCTAGCGCTGGAGATGTAAAGTCTAGCGCTGGAGATGTAAAGTCCAGCGCTGAAGATGTAAAGTCTAGCGCTGGAGATGTAAAGTCCAGCGCTGGAGATCTAAAGTCTAGCGCTGGAGATGTAAAGTCAAGCGCTGAAGATGTAAAGTCTAGCGCTGGAGATGTAAAGTCAAGCGCTGGAGATGTAAAGTCTAGCGCTGGAGATGTAAAATCAATCGAATTATACGAATTCCAAACAAAAAGAAATTAGAAAATTCAGCAAAGAGTCAGAAACTCACTAAAATAAGTAAGAAAATACCAAAACGAGAATAAAAAAAATTATAGACGGAAGAAGAAATGAAGCACAATATGACCAGCAAACAACCATTAGATAGCTGATAGTGGGGGCATAAAGCAACCCTCAGGTAGCTGATAGTGAGCATAAAGAACACTCAGATAGCTGATAGTGGGCATAAAGAACCCTCAGATAGCTGATAGTGGGCAAAAAGAACCCTTAGATAGCTGATAGTGGACATAAAGAACCCTTAGATAACTGATAGTGGGCATACAGAACCCTTAGATAGTTGATAGTGGGCATTACGCAGCAAAGAACAAAACACCCTCAGATAGCTGATAGTGGGCAAAGCGAACCCTCAGATAACTGATAGTGGGCATAACAAACTCTTAGATAGCTGATAGTGGTCATAACGAACCCTCAGATAGATGATAGTGGGCATAACGAACCCTTAGATAGCTGATAATGTGCATAACGAACCCTTAGAAAGCTGATAGTGGGCATAACGAACCCTTAGATAGCTGATAGTGGGCATAACGAATCCTTAGATAGCTGATAGTGGGCATAAAGAACCCTTAGATAGCTGGTAGTGGGCAAAGCGAACCCTCAGATAGCTGATAGTGGGCATAACGAACCCTTAGATAGCTGATAGTTGGCATAACGAACCTTTAGAAAGCTGCATTCTGGTACAGGATTGTGTGAATGTTCGCCAACGTCGCCAACGTCGCCAACGTCGCCAACATTTACAAAATCATTACTGTTCGCCAACGTCGCCAACGTCGCCAACGAAATCATTACTGTTCGCCAACGTCGCCAACGTCGCCAACCTTTATGAAATCAATACTGTTCGCCAAAGTCGCCAACCTTTATTCTATTCTATTCACTATCAGCTATCTAATGGTTCGTTATGCCCACTATCATCTATCTATGGGTTTTTTATGTCCACTATCAGCTATCTAAGGGTTCTTTATGCCCATTTTCAGCTAGCTAAGGGTTCCTTATGCCAATATTAGCTATCTAGGGGTTCGCTTTGCCCACTATCAGCTATCTGAGGGTTCTTTATGCCCACTATCAGCTATCTGAGGGTTCTTTATGCTCACTATCAGCTATCTGAGGGTTCTTTATGCCCCCACTATCAGCTATCTAATGGTTGTTTGCTGGTCATAGTGTGCTTCATTTCTTCTTCCGTCTATAAATTTTTTATTCTCGTTTTGGTATTTTCTTACTTATTTTAGTGAGTTTCTGACTCTTTGCTGAATTTTCTAATTTCTTTTTGTTTGGAATTCGTATAATTCGATTGATTTTATATCTCCAGCGCTAGACTTTACATCTCCAGCGCTTGACTTTACATCTCCAGCGCTGGACTTTACATTTCCAGCGCTTGACTTTACATCTCCAGCGGTAGACTTTACATCTTCAGCGCTTGACTTTACATCTTCAGCGCTTGACTTTACATCTCCAGCGCTTGATTATACATCTTCAGCGCTAGACTTTACATCTCCAGCGCTTGATTTTACATCTCCAGCGTTTGAATTTACATCTCCAGCGCTAGACTCTGCATATCTCCAGCGCAAGATTTTACACATCTCCAGCGCTAGACTTTACATCCCCAGCGCTAGACTTTACATCTTCAGCGCTTGACTTTACATCTCCAGCGCTAGACTTTAGATCTCCAGCGCTGGACTTTACATCTCCAGCGCTAGACTTTACATCTTCAGCGCTGGACTTTACATCTCCAGCGCTAGACTTTACATCTCTAGCGCTAGACTTTACATCTCCAGCGCTAGACTTTACACATCTTCAGCGCTGGACTTTAAAAGACACTTAATAATCTGTGTGAGACCAACAGGGCTCCGTATATATCACCTTTAAAATTAAAATAAAACAAGGTGATTTAAGGAAGTAATTTCTGGTTGGATTACAAAAACATCATGAAATAAATTAAGTTTTCGTTAAATGAATTTTTAAATACATGGTATCATGTTCACATTGCTATGTACATCAGAAATACTAGAACTTTCAACCATTATTCAAATATCTCAAATGTTATTCAATTTTTTTTTAATGTTTCAGATATATTTTATGGTTACTGGACAATTTTCACCACTAACTTAAGCCTGGTATAGATTTATGGTGTCAGTCGAGATTAGTTAATAATGCAGTGAACATTTTTTTTATCAAAATATATATAAAATAGTAAATAAAGCAACTTAATAAATGTTAAAAATGACACCTTTGTTTTGTAAAACCAAGAATTTAATATAATACAGATAATAAAACTCTCATAGCAATCCTTGTTAACCTTTTAAAAAGTTGCAGTAAAAATTCATTTTAATTAAATTTAAATACGTTTTGTCAAAATTAAAGACATGGCATACAAGAAGCTAAGGTTTAATCACCTTAGTACAGTGCGTCTAAAACCTGCTAAGGACTCCTTAGTGCACTAAGGACTTATATTATGCCACTAAGGACTAGATGGGGTGCTATTACATGTAAACAAATTTCATATCATGGTAGAGATTGATATTTAATGCATAAATTCCAAATTCTATCGAAAAAGAATCACAAAATAAATGAACAATTGAACAATGTTTAAGCACGTGCCGGTTTTTCATTCATTTTGCCGAAAATCAGTGAACCGTAAGACACGTGTCAAATTACAAAACTGATTATACTATTATCTTTAAAAAAAAAATGAAATATTAATTGTTTGCATAAGAAACTAACTAGACATTAGATGTGTTTACCATAAAAATATTTAGGTTGTGTTAAAATCTTTTTTTTTTTAATTCAATATATCTATATTATAAAATCTAAAGTATACATCGATTAATTTAATTATAAAACACATAAATTGTTTAGTGTTTTTAGGGAAAGAAAAAAGTTTGATCCGAGAAAAAATGTATGAAAGTATTTCACAGTGACTTGGTGAAGGTCAAATTTCACCTGTACGCGGGACAGTAGGAAGATGATTTAAAGGCATCGAAACAGTGTATTTGTAAAAGTGCAGATGACCTTTAATAAAAGGTTGCTTGGCGGGTATATCGGAGTTTAATTTTTTTGGTCGTAATGAATTTTCCTAGTGTATGCAATAGGCAACTCCATAACACCAAACATAAATATATTTTTCGCAATAGTTAAAAAATATTGACAGTTATATTTAGGTGGTGCTTAACTTTTGGCGGACTGTATAGTAACGATAAACTCGCAGAAGGCTCGTTTATTATTATATTGTAATTAAATATCTCGAGTTGATATCAAGCGATATCGAATTCTCACTCGCTATGAAACCTATATCAATACAAACCTAAATGACACATGACATTCGTTTGTATACGTAATCATATCTTCTCCACACACCTCCCCACTGTCAAAATTACAATCTGAAACCTATATTAATACAAACCTATGTGATCCATGACATTCTTTTTTATACGTTATCATATCTTCTCCAAACACCTCCCGACTGTCAATATTACAATCTGAAACTTATATCAATACAAACCTATGTGATCCATGACATTCGTTCTGATACGTTATCATCTCTTCTCCACACACCTCCCTACTGTCAGTATTACAATCTGTAACCCATATCTATACAAACCTATGTGATGCACGACGCTCGTTTGTATACGTTATCATATCGTCTCCACACACCTCCCCACTGTCAGTATTACAATTTGCAACCTTTTTCTATACAAACCTATTTGATGCATGACATTCGTTATGATACGTTATCATATCTTCTCCACACACCTTCCCACTGTCAGCATTACAATCTGAAACAAATATTGTAATAGGAAATTGTTAAAAATTTATTTGAACACATTTTGTGGCTTTATATATGACTTTTCAAGTGCTAAACGTTTTATATTCAGTATCTATTGTAATTGCTATAGCAGGGGAAGTTATGCACTCCCCCTCCAAATGGGACAGTCGCACAACAGCACAATATTATAAGAACAAACTGTAAGCGGTTTCCTAGTTTAGTCCAGACTCTGGTTTTGGAAGTTTCGATAGATGCTTGATGTTTATCGTTTTTGTGAAGGTAGGTAATGACAGAACACGTGCTTTAGACACTAGACTACGATATGTAGTACAAGAGCTTTCTTACATTTTAACGAAAGGTACGAACGAACGTACAGGGAGCATGTATTACATTCCAACGATAAAACTCAGTCTATGTTTTATCCGGTAAAACCGCATTCTCTTCCGAATCAAAGGTATCTTTAAAAATTTAAGTATGTCGCATATAAAACTCGCATTTAATATCTAAAAATAAAGAAAAATAGTTTAAAATACACGTACGTCCAACATGTTGCTTATGTTAACCACGATTACACACATTTGCGCGGGAATTGTTCACGCATGCTTTATAAATGTTTAAACTATGAACACAATGGAACATTTTAATGAACTTCTTGAAGTATGATACTCTAAGGGAGTTACATTTTTATGGGGACTAGGATTAAATTTGAAAAAAAAGCAGGACAGGGGTTTTGAGTAAAAAAAAAGGCAGGATGAGCAACTTGGCAAAAAAAAAGGCAGTATGACAATTTATGTAAAAAAAGTCAGGATAAATTAATAATAAAAAGGCAGGACCGAATAGAGTGAAAAATAAAAAGGCAGGATAGAGATATAACTAAAATAAAATGCAGGACAAAACTTTTAATCCTAGCCCCCCCCCCCCCCCCCCCCTCTCCCCACCACCCCACCCATAAAAATCAAATGGTAGCTCCCTAAATTTAACGACAAAATTCTTAATTCTTTCTATATATTAAGGAGTATGCCATCATCAAATTGTAAACGTGAATCATCAAGATTTGCCAGACAAGGATGCAACAAGGTATGGAAATTAAAAAAAACTGGGAGACAGAAAAAAAAATGATTTTTTGTGAAGTTCTTTCCATTAATTTAAAGGTCAAATGTAAACAAAATCGAGCGAAGTCGTGAAATCCCGTGTCAATTCCAGTGGAACAATTATCACAAAAAAAGTTTTGATTTAGATACTAGAAGATGAATATAGGATAAATGTCCACGAACCTACAAATAAATGATCTTGTACTACATATATTCTGAATTTCAATACTGATGATTTAACAATAAACACGCTTGGAAGAAAACGCAATTACACGCTGAAAAAAAGAATCCATGGGTGAGTATTAAAGACTCGGTGTATTTTCTCCGCACAAGGTAACAGGCAGTAATAAACAGGGGGAGGCGGGCAATTTCTATAAAAGTTATTAAACGAGACCAATAACATTTTGGCGCCATATTTTCACTGTTGAATTTACTAGGGGGTGCAAATAAAAAAGTATTTAGGAAGTAATGTTTTAGGTAAAAAAAAAAATTTTGGAGGGGGGGGTATATTTGCCTTTGTATTTTTTTCATTTATTTATTTATTTATTTTTTGGTGTAGGGGAGTTTGAGCACAATCTTTTATTTTTAGGGGTATTTTTTTTCTTCTGACGAGGCCTTTGTTAAGCAAATTTTGTTGGGTTATCTCCTTCCCCTGGTGGAATTATATATTTACCTCGTATATCCAGAAATTCCTATGTCACACGAAATTCAAGTTTGACCTGTGTCGTTGCATGCAGTGTAATGGTCTAACATAGACAAACATTCAGGCGAAAGGTCATCGAAGTCCCACGACAGCATTGATTATGATTACAAAGATATGTCATATTTTGAAAAGAGTCAAAACAGAAGATCCCTCAACCGGGTCTAACGTATGATTCGTCAACCGTACAAATCGTCAAATTGTAAGAAAGCTCTATTAAGCACTACGTAACGGTTCCAATGTGGGTTTTTGGGTTTTGTTTTTGTTGTTATGTTGGGGAATTCAGTGATAATGGCAGTATTTCAGGAGGCGCTTTTATATTCACATTTTGTCTAGACGCAAAGCGATTTGGAACGAGATTGACATATTGTATACATTTTGTGGAAGACTGAATATTGACATCCAGTTATTTTTTTTAGTTGTTGGCATATTGACATATACATTTTTGTACCGGTATCTCATTTTAACCTTAAAATTACCAGTGTATGGAATCGGTCATTTATTTGCATACCTTGGCTTGAAGCTTCTGTACTTGATACAACCATTGCTAACAATAATAATACAAACTTCATATTCTTCAGGTTTGTCTTTTCAATATTTTTCTACAGAAGAAAACATCTCATTTAATTTTATTTGACTTTGGAGAATGATTGAAACAAAGATCAAAGATACCCTTCCCAACTTTCAATACTACAATCATACATAATGCCATTCTTGATGGTTAACAATGTCAAATCTAGCAAATATAAGATTTTAAATTCAACGGACAAACAAACATACAGAAGGACCGACACTAGTATCATAACATATCTTTGAGAAGATAAGAAAATTTTATATTACATTAGCGTGTATTTATTTATAGTAAAACAAATCAAATAATTGAACATTCAACCGAAACGTTAATATACTTGCAAACTGCCAAACTGCACATGATCAGCTCGACAAAATGGAGTGTTTCTTTCGATTGCTTAAACAACCATTCCATTATGTATATCTGTGCCTGTGTGTGTTTGTGAAAAGTGGTGGCAAGGGGATGATTTGGGTATTCACCAAATATTTGTATAACATTTGGATATATATATTCTTGTACTTTAATAAATATTTGAACAACATGACTTGTGTCTTACAATGTTGCATCAAAGCATCGAAAACCAACAATATGCCTGACTATTCAATTTGGGATTTTCTCATTGTTGAAGGTCGTATAGTGGAATATGATTACATAAGTCCATGTCAGTTTAACTTTGGTGAATAGCTGTCGCATTGGTAATCATAAGGCACCTCCTTCATTGTTATCTAGTTTAGTTTGGCACGATACTTTATAATGAAAAGACGTAGAGATGAAATGCCAACGACAAACACAAAAAGATGAGAACTGCAAATGAAACTAATTTCTATCGTGTTTTGTGGTGATTTAAAATTTTGCCGTGCTTATGGTGTTGTTCTTCTTATATATGGGCATATGGGAACTATTTCGTTTTCTCGCTTCCGGTCAGATTATTTATTAAAATCTATTTATTATATAGTTGACTCGAACTGTAAGCCATATTCATATGAAACTTCCAGCAGAGTTAACTAACATACATCTTGGTGTGACTCAGGGTTGTCTAAATGTTTGTATTATTTCAATATTTTTCAGTTAAATTGTTGGTCAATTTAGGACATAGACATTAGATTTTTACGCCAGAATAATAACTACTAGTAATTTGTTGAAATTAAATATGTTTAATTTACCCTTCACATTAAGGCCTTTTTATGCTCGCATACGTTTTTTTTTTTTGGCTTATGGTACGTTTGGTCAGAGGCTTAATTGATTTAGATTTTGCCAGAAACAGGTGTTGTGCGATCGAATTTCAAATATATTTTTTGCTGATTTGTGTGGTTTTTTTTAATACAATTAAGATTTTCTCTCTACAGGGAATATTTGTTCTAGCAAGAGATCGGTGTTTACCTAACGCATGTTGTATGTCAATTTTAAATCATGAGACTAAATATAAAAAAAAGTAACTTTTATTTAATATTATTTTAACATCAACTTACCTAGATAAATGTTTCCATTTGTTTGTGACGTTTGTGAAATTTCACGGATATTTTTTTGGATTTTCATTCAATACATTTCCCCCAATATAAAAATAATCCGTCTTGTCGTAGAAAACTATTGTATAGAATTTTTTTCAGTCTCTGCACAATATTATATAATATAGTATATCATTACAATATGTATAACGCAAATCTAAAAATGAATATGTTGGTTGGTTAGTTTGTTTTCTGTAATTTATTTGCAATTTGATTGCTTCATATGGTTTGAATAGGGATTTAATCCGTTAAAGCGATTATTTATTGTGTTAAACAAGATTTACCCCTTGCAACAGGTTTGCGAAAATCGTTTCCTGAAGATATATGATTTACATTAGCTATTTTACATGCTGATTTTTAATGGCGAAAATGTTAACAATGTAAAACATGCGATATAAAGACAAATTAATAGGAACCGACTTAAAAGAGCTCTTATTGTGTTTAGGGAAGAAAGTTTTAAAAAATAATGTTTTTTTTTCTTCAAAACTTTACAACATTTTATTGTTTTACTATTGATTTCAAAACGTGCAGTGATAAATGCATTATCCATCATGCATATTCATGTCTACACTAAATGCCCTAGTCGAAGTATACAGATAAATTAATAAAAATACGTATACATCGTGTTTTAAAATCTGTATCTAATGTTAATGATCTGATAACAGATTACAGCTTTTGGTTCCTATTCAAATGTGTTCCTTCAGTAAAAAGATGGAATGAGATTTTGATTTTCGTAATCTCCCGTCATACTTTATTTAAACGGAAACATTATTACAGACAAGAAAAGATCTTCCTTTGAACGAAAACCACCTCGGTGGTCTCGAGGTAGAATGTTCGCCTCGAGTGCGGCAGGTCATGGGTTCTAACCCCGGCTGGGTCAAACCAAAGACTTTAAAAAAGATATTTGCTGCTTCTCCGCGCTAAACACGCGGCATTAAGGAGCAAGAGCAAAGATTGGTCAGCTCGGAGTCAGAATAATGTGTCCGGGTAAGATGACATGTCTTCCTGCGAACTGTTACCTTGTGAACTAGCACGTTAAAGAAAATCCGGCTCAGCGTGTCGGTCTAGTACAAAGCAGGGTTAATATTCATATTACATGAACATGTTATCGTCTTGAATATGTATATTAATTTGCCACTGGACGTTAAGCAGTCATACATCCATTATCACCCTTTGAACAAAGTACGTTAACTGATGCGTCTTGTAGGGAGCTCATGAAACACTTGCGACAACTATTTGAAGGGTCCGTAGGTGGCATATTGCAAGTCCCTATCCAATATACACTCATTTTGCAATGCAAATTTCGCCCACTACCATGCCGGACGGCCTATATAACAGGACCTGCCTATTGTATTTATGTTGATATGTCGTGAACATGCATAAAAGATTTGCCACTAGACGTTAAAAAACAACAATCAATCAATCATCGAATATCAAAATGGCAACTGTCTTTGCAAATTGATTAATGGCCAGTGGCGTAGCTGGGCCCTTATTTCTAGTGAGGCGAAGGAAGTCAAGAACCCCAATGCTGCTTTGGAGGGCATAAGTCAAGGATACTTCCCGTGTCTAAAAAACAATTTCAGCATTTAAAATGTAATTTTTTTTATGTTACTTAGCATTCAGCGGCAAATATTTTATACATATTTAGGACTAGAACAAATAAACAACAAATCGAGCAGTAGGTTGATTCTGAAACAAACGGCTAACTAGGATAACGTGTGGGTAAATTTGGACTGCCACTAAAAAGAGGATATGCTGGATAGTGGCAGAAATACTGTCATGCAACATGCCACCTAGGCACTCCTTAATGTACAGTCGCAAGGATTCTTTAGTGTAGCACGCTCCCTATACGAGGCACCGGATTTAATGTCTCATTCTGACAAGAAATACATTTGTATCTTTCTATCTTTTTTCCCTTTTGATTGTTCACACATTTGCAGTAAACCCTTTTCTATAGATTTATTTTTTATTTTTTATTGATTCAGCAAAGAAGTTTTGGTAGCGTTTCGATGTCGAAAGATTTAATGCTATCAATTTTGAAAAAAAAAGATTCTGTTATAATGAACATTATTTAAGTGCCTGTCCCAAGTCAGGAGCCTGTAGTTCAGTGGATGTCATTGGTTCATGTGGGTCATATTTGTTTTTCGTAAATAATTCTGTTATAAATTTGGCCGTTAGTTTTATCAATTGAATTAATTCGGGGCCTTTTATAACCGACTATACGGTATGGGTTTTTCTCATTGTTGAAGGATAGTTGTCTCATGGGCAATCATACCACATCTCCTTATTTTTATACTTGTCGTTTTATGGAAGGTTCACGCTTGTCTTTTTGAAATAAGGATATGCATTAGCTGTTTACTGAAGTTAAGTTATAGCGTAATAATTTAATTTTGGATTTAACGCGTCTACTGATTGGCTGACTTTGTTTTGTTTATCAGCTCATAGACATATCTTTGTCATGTGACCGTGACGTCATCGACGTTTTTTCATGGTTTACTCAGGTCTAAAATGGAATATAGAATTAAATTATAAGAAATGACTGTAATATTTTTTCTGTCTATTCGAAATAACATAAAAAATGTGGTGCACACTTTAAAATAACCCGCTACGCGGGTTATTCAGAGTGCACCACATTTTTGATGTGATTTCTTCATAGACAGAAAAAATATTACAGTCATTCCTTAAATGAAGACTCGTTTATTGCAATCAAGGAGGGAGAGGCGATACCAAAGGACAATCAAAAACCATAAGTCGAAGGAAATTACAACACCCAGACCAAAAAAAAAAGAAATTAGACAAAACCCAGACCCAAAAAAATTATACAACACCCAGACTAAAAAAACAATTAGACAACACCCAGACAAAAAAAAAAAATAGACAACACCTAGACCAGAAAAGAAAAAAACTAGACAACACCCAGACCAAAATAAAATTAGATAACACCTAGACCAAAAAAAATTAGACAACTCTGACAAAAAGAAAAAATAGACAACACCTAGACCAGAAAAAAAAAATAGACAACACCCTGACAAAAAGAAAAAATAGACAACACCCTGACAAAAGGAAAAAATAGACAACACCCTGACAAAAAAGAAAATTAGACAACACCCAGACCAAAAAAAAATTAGACAACACCCAGACCAAAAAAAAAATAAAAAAAATAGACAACATCCTGACAAAAAGAAAAAAATGCGACCCAACAGACAGACAATTATTCAACAAACAATACAAAAAAATCATTCCGCAACACGAACCACAAAAAACAAAAGAACGGAACTCAAGCAGATGCATTGGTATAGGGTAACTTGAGCAGTTCCTGCTCCACAAGTGGAACCCGTCGTTTTGCTTAATGTAATAATTAAGTTAAAACCAGTTGATAAATATAATTCTGTGATGCCGTAAATTTGGGAAAAAAGACAGGGTTGTGGCTACTGATATTTTGAAAAAAATTCTTGGCCATATGTAACATAAATGATCAATTCATGATGGCGTCAATAAAACAAGTGATAACTACAACTTTATCTTAAGAACCCTTGGTTCACCAGCTTCATTGAAAGAAACGATTTTTTATCACTATTATCATTATAAGAGTTTGATCTTAGAGGTATATACTCCATACTCAGGTTTTACTATAAAAAAGGAAGAATTACAATGGGAAGAAATTTTCTCTTTTGTTTTCTCAACTTATCTGTCAGTTTTTAAATCCAATTCTAGATATTAAGCAGACATAACTGTATATGTGGTATCCTGTATTTCAAGTTCAAAGAAATAGATAGTTAGTTTTCTGAATTGAATTGTTTCATATTTTTCATGTCGGGGCCTTTTATACCCGACTATACAGTATGGTTTTTTCTCATTGTTGAAGACCGTACGGTTGCAGATAATTGCTTACATCCACTTTATTTGAACTTTGGTGGATAGTTGTCTCATTGGCAGTCATACCTTATTTATATACGCTCAACATTGTCACCAAATTTTAGTTATTCAGTGAGATAACAGTACATACATAATGGAACGTAAAAGATAATGCTAGCTTCTCTTCTATTCCAGGAGACTCTATATATATGAAGTCTGAATCATACGAATAAATTTAAAGAATAAGTCGGTGAAAAAAGGAGAACATTTGTTTCAATAGGAACGCTAACGTTCTGTTGACTAGCTATTCCACCAAAAGTAACAAATATGGTGTCATCTTAAAGGTGCCAGTTTATAGAACTTCTTGTTTGATGTGTATTTATTGAGTAGGTGTTCCTGGCTAAAACAAGATATATGTATCTACACTGAAAGAGTTGAACTAATTATTCCAATCCGTCTTACGTTTGGAGGGAGAAATACTTGTGTAAACAGTAGAGAAGTCAAATGTTTATAACCATCCAATACTACAAAATAATAATTGCACATTTTTTTTTCTTAAATTTTTCTTGGTCAAACATTTAGTGAGGCAGTTGCCTCATTGCCAAATCGAAGCTACGCCACTGATGATGAAATGAACCTTGCAACATCGATTTCGTACATATGTGATTGAAATAAACCATTGTTTTCCAGAATCAGTCCAAATTACACGGCCTTCATCCCTGTCCTCCCACCTAGCAGAATCTACCCATTTTATTAACTCTTCATATTTTATCATCCTGAATATGCATGATGACATAATTATCCATTGATGCAACAATTAATCAACCCCCCTGCACCGACAGTCTCAGTGAGTGGTTTAATGTTTAATTAGGTAACATCGGTTTTAAATCAGAAAATAAACATGCAATGGTATTTTTAGATCGTGTATACATAAAGTAAATAATCCATATCTATTATATAACAGTCAAATATATATATATATATATATCTTGTGGTAATCTGGTACAGGAAGGATGAACATTTATCGAACTTCAAGCGGACATTTTGTATGGACACACACAAAAAGGGAAAATACCGTTTCCTCTATCAGGAAATAATCTATGATAATCAGTGAGGGATGCAAGGAGGGAGGGGGAGCGTAATAATACGTCATATTTTTTACGATTTATTTAAATTTTTAGCATAAAATCATCCAAAAATATTTTATATATAATCCGTTTTATGGACTAACGCCCTTTTCAAAAATCCTGGATTCGCCCCTGATATTGACTAGTATTCTAGTTTATTTCAGATAATTTTATCTTGTATTGATCAATTATAGCGTTTATTTTTTTTTTTACTATAGAATATTTTTAAAAATATGTAACATTAAAAAAAAATTATGTCAAGTACTTTGTTATAGTTTTATTGCACTTATCTACTTATACAATGATAAATCATCCATTAATGATAAAAATAATTGCCTCGATTACACTTCCGTATTAAAGCATAGGATGAGATTTGGTGTTTTGATTCTTTACACAAAATCCTATAACGCACTTGGGAAATAAAAAGCACAGGAACAGCACATTTATTTTATTTGGATACGTTTTATAAGTAAGTATTGCACAGCGCTTTTTTTTAATAAAATTTTATCTCTCTAAGGTTTCGAAATTATCTGTGTTTAACAAGCATCATAACCGATCATTGTTGAGCCTTTCCTTTTCATACCGTAACAAATCTTTAGACTTTCAAATGTTATTAAGGTGGTCCCAAACACCTTGACTAAAAAAATTTTGACAAAATATTCACTTTGACCCTTTGACAAAAATATAAAAATTTAAAAAAACTAGAACCACACACTTTATCGGAAAAAATTCATTGGATATATAGCAGTTTGACAAACACTAATTTTGATCATTGAGAAGCTTAATATTTTCTTAACAATAGAACATGATTAAAACGTTCAGGTGATTTTTACATAGTTATATCCCTGTAGTGTTATGTACCACCTTTAATGGTTTGGATATTTATAGTATTTTTGTAGTTTCATGGGCTCATCATACTTCCCCCTTTTTTCGGTATCTATATTCGTTATCCATTTTGATTTGAAAAGTTTTGAGAAACAAAACGTGATTGAATCATAATGATTTTGTACTGTAAGAATTTGGTTGTGTTTTATTTCTTCACAACTTTTTAAACTCTGGGCGGATTATTGCTTAACCCCCCGTCACACTAGACCAACACCATGAAGATCCCACTACGATCAATAAAAAAATAAGATCGCCGTGAGATCGTGGTATGGTCGGCTTGAATATTCAACACGTTCATACCACGACCTTGCTATGATTCTGATAAGCTGCTACGATAGTAACACGTTCTAGTTACAATCTTGTCACGCTCTTGCTACGTCTAATAAGACCTTACCACGATTTACACGATCTCTGTACGCTTCTACCAAGACCTTCCCGATCGCATTACGATCTCAATACGAGTCTACTACGATCGAACCACGACTCCACTACGTTTCCACTACGTTGTCACTGCGCTCTAGAATATGGCTTCATCAAATAAGTTCTCAACCCAAATGCGTCGTCACCCAAGATGAAGTATGGCATGTACAGGTCGTCATTAGGTAAGAGATCTGTTTCTGGAAATCCAATAGTCTTATCTTCCAAACACTCCTTTAATTCTGCCGCGTTGTAAATCTGGGCGTCCGACATGGAACCATATCCTCCTACATCTATCCATAAAATTTGTAGTCTGCATCCACCAAGGCAAGGAGCACTAACGAAAATAAACCTTTATAGTTATGAAACAAGGATCTGCTTTTAGGCGGCCTTCTAATAGCAACATGCTTTCCGTCGAGGGCGCCACAAGCGTGTGGCACGTTCCATCTTCTCTGAAAATCTTTTGTTCCTGTTGGACAGGATATGACTTCATCTTTATATTCCTGTACAATTGCCTGGCAAACCTCAGGAATAAAAGTACTTACAGTATTGCGCGCGACTCTGAAATCGTACTGAAGTAGTTGATACCTATCGCCAGAAGCTAAGTGCCTTAAGGTAATAACAACTTTCAGACCGGGATCTAGTGCCTTTCTGAATCGGGTGTCTCTCTTTTGAATTCGAGGACTTACTCTGTTTTGAAGTTCATCAAACATTTCTGGAGGCATTCTTAAAAAATCAAAGAATGACTGTTGATCCTCCATCCTTAATTCTTTCATAAGTCGGTCGTAATCCCCAAACTGGAGTCTACTTTCAACAGAAAGCTAAGGACGCACCTAACAGGACCTAAGCTGTCTAGTATGTCTTCTCCTTCATATAACTAAAACTGTAGCCTGATCAGCCAAATCGATACAGTGCAGCTGAAGATTGTAGAAGTAGGTTTTGCTCATGTGTGTCCATGGTTGAACTACAGGTAGGAGTTATTGCATCCGTTTTTTTTATATCAACAGAATCAGGTCGTGCAATTATCGTGGCTAGGACGACAAGCGCGCAGTAGCAGCGTACTATTGTATTCCGCATCGTAGTATAATCGTATCAATATCGCAGTAGAAGCGTAATAAAGACGTAGTGATTCCGGGGTAGTCGCAGTGAAATCGTAGTAAGGTCGCAGCGAAATCTTTTCCATCGGCTTCATATAATTGCACCACGATTTCCAATACGATGCTTCTACGCCCATCCTGATCTTACTACGTCCTAACTACGACCTTCCTACGCTTCTAGTACGACTAGTTTTGGCCACGACTGCACTACGAATATTTTAAGCATGTTCAAAGTTGGTCGTGGACCTCCACGATCATGAAGATCTTGGCACGTCCTTACCACGACCACCACGATCTTACAACGACTTCCAAAATATTTCGTAATTTTTGAGGTCGTAGCGGGATCGTGGTCCTAGTGTGATGGGGTTATTAGAAACCTCTCTTTCTGTTGAGGACTGTATGTTGACCTTCAGAAGTATTTTGCATTTTATTTATTTTTGTCGTTTGATTAATGTCTCATCGATGTGTTCCCAGAAGACACACAAACTTGGTAAAGAAAGTTTGTAACAGAATGTTATGTGTATTTTTATTCATTTTTAAGGCGAAGTTTCGCTTTTCCACAAATTAGTCATACGTTTCTTCAAATATAATGTTGCTTTTTCGCAAATTTGACATATCTTACTTTTCTGCAATATTTTCGATAGAGTTCAAAAACACTTGTTTACGGTTCCGAAACTTTTTCCCCACTTTGGTTAGTTATGTAAACATTTTGCTTTTGCGAAATGGTACTTTAACTTCAAATAGATTAATCAAATTTTATCTAAAATACTTGTATTGAAACTTAATCACATCTTCTTATATAACACATTTAAACTACAAAACGTTTCATTTTTAAAATTTTCTGTGGCTCAGAACTTTATATAAATTTAGCAATCTGCAAGAGAATTAAATAAGATAAAATTTAGATGTACATGTAATACATTTTGACTATCTTCTATATATACATCCTTGTCTTTCGGTCTTTAGTGGATAGTTGTCTAGTTGGCATTCATATCACTTCTTCTTTTTGTATATATCATAAGGCTTCGAAAGCACCAAATATTAAAAGTGTTAATTTCATATTCTGCATTTCTTTATCTAGCGTTGATTACAAGAAAATTGCTCAGTACACATTTCGATCGCAAAGGCAGTACGCACTTTATACGGAAGCGTAGCATACATCTTTACAGAAGTGTAATATACAATAAAATATACAGAGTAATACTGTGTCTTTAGGAAATTTGTGCAAATGTCAAACCAACACCCGTTTTAAGATATTACTTTTAATTTGGCTGATAACATTTTGCCACAGTGATAAAATGACAATGATGTACGCGCGAACAGTTTTTGTTTGTATGTGTTATATCTATACTTAATTTTTATTACAGGAAATTTTTCTGAACTTTTATGATTTTTCTGGTTCGTTGCCCTAGTGATACTACTTTGTTATTTTCTCAGTTGTTAACAATTTGCCACAGACATGCAGGGTTTGACTATATGTACAACAGCAGTGTTTATTATTGGAGAGATAGCAGGTGTTGGTGTGTTGGCTTTGCCTAGGGCTGTAGACGATACAGGTACAGTAATGATGTAACGGCTAGCTGAATTGTGTAACAATGTTTTAATTTATTACAAAGATTTCCAGACATAAAGTTTGATCTGATAATATAAAATAATGTTTCTCAGTATGATCTATTTTCCAGTTAGAAAACCAAACACCTTAAATTCCTAAATTAAAAAAGATCTTTATCTTATATTCCTCGACTCACATAAGCCATTTTTTATTTTGCTTTGTTGTATGATCGGTTAAGGGCCTTGGATAGGGGAGGTGCAAGATGTCTCAAGAGCACGGTTTAAAAAATCCGGGTACGGGTGAAAACACAAAAATTATTTCAATTTTTTTTCAAGCTAGATAAAATTCTTTTACAGGATGGATTGGGTTTGTTTTAATAGTTGTATTTACATTGCTGTCAACATACACTGCCACATTGATAGGAAAATGCTGGGCAATGATTCAGGAGAGATATCCCGAATATCGATCTCATGTTCCGGATCCTTATCCAATCATGGGCGAGAAAACGTATGGCAAGACTGGCAGGTAGAATTTATATTTTATTTGTTTTAAAGATGTTAAAACAATAGAGGTTACTCTAAATTTCTTTTCGTAGTTATTTAACCTGTGAGAAACACACAAAATGCGTTACTTTTGAATTTTGAAAGTAAAGACAATTTATTACAATGTTAAATGTAAAGACAACCCCAACTGAACGAATAGGCAAAACCATATAATGACAAGTTTATTTTTTCAAAATAAAACAATTGGTTACATCTTCGTCATTTGATCCTTAGTGGATAGTTGTCTAATTGGCAAACATACCACATCTACTTTTTAGCTCACCTTTCCTAAAAGGAAATGTGAGCTTTTGCCATCACTTGGCGTCCTTCGTCCGTCTTCCGTCGTCCGTCCGGTGTAAACTATTTCAAAGATCTTCTCCTCTGAAACAATTAACCAATTCCAACCAAACTTAAGCTGAATGATCCTTAGGGTATCTAAAATAAAGTTTGTGTTTTATTTTCTGTTTCGTCAAAAAACATGGCCGCCATGGCTAAAAATAGAACATAAGGGTACAGTGCAGTTTTTGGCTTATATCTAAAAAAATAAAGCATTTAGAGCAAATCTGACATGGGTAAAAATGTTCATTAGATCAAGTTCTATCAGCCCTGAAATTTTCAGATGAATCTGACAACCCATTGTTGGGTTGCTGCCACTAAATTGTTAATTTCAAGGAAATTTTGCTGTTTTTGGTTATTATCTTGAATATTATTATAGATAAAGATAAACTGTAAACAGCAAAAATGTCCAGCAAGGTAAGATCTACAAATAAGTTTAATGATCAAAATTGTCAATTGATCCCTGAAGGAGTTATTGCCCTTTAAAGACAATTTTACACAATTTGTTTATCATGTTTTCTAACTTTAAAAAATCTTCTCCTCTGAAACTACAGAACCAAATTGAACCAAACTTAAGCTGAATGATTCTTAGGTTATCTAGAATAAAGTTTGTGCATTATTTTATGTTTCCTCAGAAAACATGGCCGCCATGGCTAAAAATAGAACAATGGGTAAAATGCAGTTTTTGACTTATATCTCAAAAACTAAAGCATTTAGAGCAAATCAGACAAGAAGTTAAAGTATTCATTAGGTCAAAGTCTACCTGCCCTGAAATTATCAGTAAAATCGGATATCTGAATTTTAGGTTATTGCCCCTGAATTGATGATTTAAAGGAAATTTTGCAGTTTTCGGTTATTATCTTGAATATTATTATAGATAAAGATAAACTGTAAACAGCAAAAATGTTCAACAATCTAAGATCTACAAATAAGTGTATATAACAAAAATTGTCAATTGACCCCTTAAGGAGCTATTGCCCTTTAAAGACAATTTTTCACAATTTGTTCATCTAGTTTGCTTACTTTAAAAAATCTTCTACTTTGAAACTGCTGAATCAATTTCAGCCAAACTTGGGCTGAATGAGTTTCAGAGTATCTAGTATAAATTTTGTATTTTGTTTCCTTGTACGTCAAGAAACATAGCCACTATGGCTAAAGTGAAACATAGGGGTAAAATGCATTTTTTTGCTTTTGAGGAAAATATGACAGATACAATGAACATTTAAATGGCATTTTTAAGCCACTCATTAATATTTATTGAAAAGCAAAAATAATCATTGATGAAATATTCAAGTAAAAACTTAAAGGTGATTGATTCAGGCTCTTGCGAGCCTCTTGTTTATTATCTTGGTCAGATACGGGGAAAAAAAACACGTAAAAGAAAAAAAATACAAATACAAAAAAAAGCAAAAATGAAAAAAACCAACACAAGTTTCTGGAACCTCGTAACCAAATTTTTCTGAAATTAAACTAACAAGCCGTAAAATATGATACTATGTTTTTTAAAGATTTAAACCTTTATATATTCGAAAACTCGAGTTGTTTACCAATTTCACTTGAGATAAGAGTAGAAACATAGCAGTTTTACAGTAGTCGAACGATCACATTAATACATAATTATCTCGAAAATGAAAATATTTGTATCTTAAACATCGTAATTGGACTTAGGTACTCTCTCATAGTGGGAAAACATGTAAAAAAGTAGTCGAAGTTTTCAATTAATCAACGTTATATCTACACGATAAGCGGAACGGAGATAAATTACGGTTCTACATGTAAAAAGCAAAATAACAAAAATACCGAACTTCAAGGAAAACCCAAAACGGAAAGTCCCTTATAAAACGGCAAAACCAAAAGCTCAAACACATCAAACGAATGGAAAACAACTGTCATATTCCTGACCTGGGAACTAATTAATCAAATAAGTGTCTGAATTGAGTACTAATGATAAAACTACAATGGCTTTCGTAAAGTACAATGTAAAGATATATCATCATAGTGGACAATGGTGATATTTTTATTACGAATTAAATAAAATAGCAGTCACTTGAGGAGGAGCTCCTCTACGAAGGAAAGAAGACATCTGAAAGAAGAGCTCTGAACAGGACAATATGAGACAGTAAAGAAACTAAAAAAAAAAAAAATCACCAAGGCAGGTTTGAAGGGATAGAGCAGAAAATCCAAAGACGCGCTGGTTAAGCTTATCGAAGATTATTGCGTTGAACGAGGCATGATCAACTACACCAGTAAGATGAGATATGACTTGAGAAAGTCTTTGGAAAACGATTTTGCTATTCTTTAAAGTCCATTTCGGTCTTAAAGCTCCTGAAGTATTCATCATTGGCTTTCCGATTCTTTGGTGTGAGTGTTCTTTATACAGGTTAATAATAACCTTAGACTAATGATCACATTCACTTTTAATTGCCTTCACTCATCAACTTTTTTCTTTAAATGGTAGGGTAACTCGCCATTCATTCAACTGTGTATATTGCTTTTATAATTTCTTTATTTGAAGTGTACAAAAAAAAAAAAACAGTTACTGTACAAAAATAAAAAAGACAATTAAAATGAACTATCGAGTAAAAGGATGCATTCATAATCCAGTCAACTTTCCGTACTGTAATGAATTTTGACAAAAGCATACATTTACTTCACAGTATAGGCGAAGTATGTTTTTAAGGAGTAAGTAAGGAAATACAATTGAAACTCAAAATTGACAAACTGACAATAACATGGCAAAAACCGAAAAACGACGAAAAGATAAACATCTGGTCACACAACTCAACATAGAAAACTGAAGACTGAGCAACACGAACCTCACCAAAACATTATAGAATTTTAAATCTTACACGCTAATGATATCATATCCATTGTCCTATTACTTTTTTTCAGATATTTAGTTACAATTACGTTGAATATTTTCAATTTTGGAAGTTCTGTTGTTTTCTTGGTATTAGCGGCTGGAAATATTGAGACTTTACTAACTGACGTCATCAAAGATATATCGTTCTGTTATTGGTTGATGATACTGACGTGTATTGTTGTTCCAATCGTTTGTCTTGGTACACCAAAAGACTTCTGGTAACTGATTAGCATTACGGTTACCATAAAAATGATCATCAAAAATATATGATTAACGATCGAGAACCACACTGTTTTATTAACTATAAATTTAGTAAACAATTCACATGAGTGATCATTAAACATGTTTCTTAGTAATACACGATATACACAATATATGTACAGTAACACCTATCTTTATTTTGGTAAAGCATGTTAGCAGGTTAGTCAAGGAACATTTATGACGTCACTGGGCTATCAGGATTTTAAGTTTTTCAATTGGTCCGATCATATAAAAATAACATTTACAGAACAACTCTTTCCCTTGGCTTTCAGATGTTAAGGTTAGAGTGCGTTCTCAGTGACGGTTAATACAGAACAGCGCTTCAGACGCAAGAAATTTATGATTTGTTATTTTTTTTAAAAATAGAAATATTGTTGATATTTTATGCTTATAGAAAATAAAATATTACTTCTGCCACATCGATTCTTTACCAGTATAATTTATTTACAATAAAAAAATTCTGAAACATTTATTTTGACATCCTCACTGGAACTAACGGGAATTGTAAAGCATTTGATGTAACTGTGGTATTTTTCCTCTTACCGTCAAAAGTTTTCTGGATCAAATTGATCTCTAACTGTTACTAAATTATTCCTCATTATGAACTGAATGGGCATAATATTTGATATATAAAATATTAACACTTCATAAAAAAGGCCAATAAAGAAACGCATATCTCGCATTGGAAATGAAGAAATGATTCTTTGTATAAGATTAGATTCTAACAGAAATGTACCTGAAACTGAAGATGCAGTCTTTTTGTGTTTTATTAAAAGACTTTTTAACCATTATAAATTGCCGTTTCATACAGTAGCTCGTACATAGATAAAGCCAAAATTATCCTTTAACTTTACACCCGACTATATTAAAATAAGTCACTAATTCATCGATGTTCAAATCAAATAAGAAGATGCTAATCAAGGTAACAAATAAAAAAAACTGATAAAATCGAATAAAGTTGAAACGGGACGAGAGAAGGTGCGTAAGCAGGGTAAGCGTCTTCTTCAATTAATGCATCAACTGCACTCGATCAAAACGTAACAATCGGGAATAGGACGCAATCGGTAAAATTACAGCTAGGAAGACTAAAAGTTTCCAATGAATAAAAAAACTCAACGTTGAGATTACTTTGCTGGTCCAGTGCCTTAAACTTACAATTATCATACATGAAGCACAAACACATTTAGGGTTCCTCCTTATTATGATTTACCTAAGGGGGCACATCCTATAAACAAGGTATACGAAAAGGTATACATTTTTAAAATCTAAATTATATGAAAAGGGTAGGGTAACAGTACCCCAGCGGCACCCCTATCAATTAAGTATTGAAGTGCCCCAACCCCGAGGGATTTACATCTTCAAAAAGAGAGTTAATATCGATTTCAGTAAAAAACGAAACATGCATTTAAATGAATTATTCATTTTTAAGTTGTAAGAAGGAAATGGACAAAAGAAAACAACCAAACGCCAGTCTACAAAAAATTACATAGATAAACTAAATATTGAGCTACACAAATCCTACCAAACACTTGGTAAACTCGGGTGCACTGGAAGGTTAATGGTTCTATAGTAGGTGCAGCCGTTATTCTGGTCCTGTTGGTTATGACTATTAAAAAAAATCTGCTTAAAAGTTGAAATCAGTGTGGTCACGAATGAAGAAATGAAGAACGAATAGTGACTTCGACAGCTGGACACATATATTTCATAACATTCAAATACTGATGATTTCCGTAACAAATTCGAAAAGATACTTAGTCTTAACCTTGAAAGAGCCCTTGATTTAATTCATTCCGTGTACAACAGCACTCTATTAAGGAAATTACGAAAAGCAGGCCAAAGTTATAGATAACATCAATAATTTTGACGTTTTATGTAATGAACAACCATTCATATCTAAATAAATAACATATTTCTACCTTTTTAGGCCAATTGGAGTTGGCGCAGCAATTTCCACTGGAATAGCTTGTACATTAATTATCATACAAATTTTCCAAGACAACTCTCACAGTAAAAATACTACTGTGCACTCAAACATTAAGCTTCAAAACTTTTCCTCGGCCTTTGGAACAATGGTTTTTGCTGTCAGTGGTCATTCCGTATTTCCAACAATTATAACAGACATGAAGAAAAAGGAAGACTTCAAACTTGCAGCGCTCCTTGGATATGGAAGTAATATGAATATGTAAATTTAAAAGATACAATAAAATTCATTTAAACCTGATACAAAACTATCTGTAAAGGTATACGACTATTTGGGGGTATGATACACAGGTGACAAATTATCGACAGAAAAAGTTACCATACAAAAAGGTTGAGCACAAAGAAGTGTTCAAACTTTGAAAGTGAAATACAAATGAATGCACGGCAATCAAGTTATCAATTGTTTGTATCTACTGTATACCGTTTGTATTCAGATTTTTCATTCACTCGATGTAAAATGTACAGTTTGTACCTTAAATGGAAGAGGAAAAATATATAAGCATTTAAAGAAATTCATGTCAAAGATGCATCGTAACAACCATTAGATGATTCTTCTAGTTATTATTTGAAGATAGAAATGAAAAAAGTCAGCCTAGTTTAATTTGTATTTTAATTTAGATACATTTGTTTTATATTTTCAAAGTTGTCCTCCTAATGTACATACCAACAGCAGCGTCTGGATACTTTGTGTATGGTAGAGATGTTAATGTCAATATAATTAGAAGTATACCAGCTGGTCCTCTCGCGTATGTAGTGGATATTTTGGTCACATTGCATCTTCTCTTGGGATTTATAATCTATATGAACCCTGTGTGCCAGCAGTTTGAAGCTAAAGTAGGCGTTCCTAAAGGTGAGATAAAAAGATAAACCAACAGATACAAAACAATTGGAACGAATATTTCAAGAAATCCGTGACTGGTGTATATGATGCTGAAACACAGACCTGAAAATACGATGTGTAATTATTATAGTAAAATATAAAAATAAAAAGATGTGGGGTGTCTATGAGACAAAAAAAGAAATAAACTTAGTTGGAAATAAACTTAAAAAATGTCCAAATAACCAACTTAAAAAACAGAAATATTTTGAAATGTTAAAAAGTTTTAAAAAAATGGTGAAATTTTAAAAAAAGCACAATATAGAGAGAAGATATTTAGTTCGTTGACAGACAGTTTTAATAAGAAACTTAAAGATTATTGGGAAATACTTAAAGGATTGAAAAATTTACAAAAAATTTGGTAATGAAGTACCGGAAATTTTAAAAGACGAAGAAATAATTACGAAGCATATTCAGGACCAAGGAAAACCCACATTTGTAAATATAAAATGGAAAGAGGAAATAGAAAAACAACTTGTTAATATTGAAAAGAACATTACATCCAATAGAGAAACAGATGCTCCCATAAAATACTCTGAAATAAAAAACGTTATTAGTTAGCTCAAAAAAGAAAAAGCTCCTGGGCCAGATACCATTATTAATGAAATAGTAAAATTTAGTAAAAATGTATCTATCAAAAGCATTGTTCAACTGTTTAACCTAATTTTAAATACAGGTATTTACCCATCACTATGGAAATGCTCATATTTAATTTTATTGCATAAATCAGGAGAAAAAAGTGATCATAATAATTACAGGGGAGTATCCCTGATAATTTGCTTACCAAAGTTATTTAATGCTGTATTAAATGAAAGATTGATTAAACTGATGGAAAATACTATTAGTAATACTCAATTTGGCTCTAGGAAAAATCATAGAACCTCTGATAGTATATTTGTTCTTAAGTCTTTAATAAACAAATACTTACACAAAAATTAAAAAAAAAAATATATGCCTGCTTTGTAGATTTAAAAAAAAGGCATTTGATTCTGTCTGGAGAAAAGCCTTACTTTATAAACTGTATAACGCAGGAGCAGGGAAAAAATATTTAATATTATTAAAGTACAGTATGAGGAAACAAAATCTGCTTTTAAGCACCAAGAGTGGCATTCAGCATATTTTGAGGTCTCTCAAGGGGTTAAGCAAGGGGATTCATTGAGTCCTACTTGATTTAATTTATTTATAAATGATTTAGATGCAGAGTTTTCAAATGAAAAAAAGCTGTCCATTGGAACTGATTGATACTAAAGTAGGATCTTTATAATTTGCTGATGACCTTTTAATATTATCTGAAAGTAAAGAAGGCCTACAAAATAGTCTTAACAACTTAGACAAATATTGTGAAAAGTGGCAATTGACTTTAAATATTAATAAAACTAAAACAATGATTCTGCAGCAATATAATAAAAAAAAAGTGGGAACATCTTTTGCAAAATATAAGAATGAAAATTTGACAAATGTCTCTGAATATCCATTTCTTGGAATTCTTGTAAAAACAAATGAAAACTTATTGAATAGCTCTGAAGAACTTGTAAATAAAGCAAGGAAAGTGATGTTTGCCAATAAAACTTATACTGGTTCTTTAAATATTCTGCCAGTTAAAGTAGCTTGCAGTCACATCGAATCCAATTTAGATTCATTCATTCAGTCACGTCTCAGTCATTACAACTGAACGGACGTGCTAGGTCAGCTCTCCTTTACCCGCTATCTTCGATGAGGGTTTATTGTTAGATGGATCAACGACTTACTACTTTCGATGACAGAAACCAATCCAACGCTGTACAGACTACGTTAGGCTATAATCCGCGTAGGGCAAATTCCCGCGTCAACATACACTCCAAAACCCATTATTGATGGGGGGGGGGGGGGGGGGGGTGGTATGCCGAGTGACGTCCGAGGGCTGTATCCTAGGTGTTAGATGATGGACCACCATTTCACTGTCTCACGACTTTGGTCCTGATAATGCTTCCTGTCATCGTTAATACTACGTCCGAGACTCATCTACCAGTACTCCATCATCGAGGTTAGCGGGCTGCCAAGCTGACTAATCTGGCCCTGAAAGCAGCCGTTGTGAAGAACATCAAAATAGTCAACAAAAGAAAAACCAAAACAACTCACAAAACAAAGATGGCGGCCTACCAAAATGGCGTCCTCCACCTGTTCCTGACCGATGGCACAAAATTATTTAAACGCTCACCAAACGCTTCGGGCACCGAGCCGACCGTGCGAGGGATGTATATCCAGTCAAGGTCGTTAAACACTTCCATTTGTTGTAGCTTGCAGTCTTTTTGACTCTATAGTTTAAACCAATAGCCACTTACAATTCAGAAATTACTTATATGGATACATATGTTTCAAAATTTAGAGCAGAAAAACGTGCAAATATCTCCAAAACAAATATATACCTCCTAAATGTTACTGATAAATCATGTTTAGAAAAATTACATTTGTTTTTCTGTGAGTATATCCTCTGAACAAGAAAATCTTCAGCAAACATAGCCGTGAGAACAGAGTTAGGGAGATACCCACCAGAGATGCATATAAAAACTCACAGTATACTTTACCTAACAAGATTATTAAATTCTGAATTTAATCCATTATTATATGAAATCTTTTTACTTTCAAAAAATTTGGATGAATCAGGTTGCTATACCTGGTTTACATATGTTAAAAATATTTTGAAAGAGGTAAACATAGAATTATCCATTCTTGAGGGAAACAAAGGAAAAAGTACTCAAAGTTGTTAAAAAAAAAACAACTTAAAACACCAATTTTTAAATTTCTACAAAAATATATTTGAACAAAAATTTGGAAAAATAGATAAAAAAAAGTAAATTATATTTATATAAAAGCTTAGGGTCCCTTTTTAAACAGGCATTATAATTGAGGAAAGGGGACTCTTGATTTATTTATATAAATATATTATGTGCTTTTTTTACTTATACATGTATTATGGGATATGTTTTCCTATGGGTTTTTTTTTTGTCTTTTTGTGTATGTTTGCATTCATATAATGTTTATATGTTATCTTTTTCTATGTTAATGTCACAAATCCTTTTAAAATGATTTATATGGCAATAAAATTATTTGAATTTGAATTTGGTATGACTGCATATGAGACAACTTTCCACCAGAAACCAAATGACGAAGACGTTTGTTTTTCAGCTTTCACTTGGAAGAGATGTATCGTTAGACCACTGATCGTACTGGTTGTCCTATTCATTGCTGAAAGTGTTCCTCATTTTGGTGCTATTTTATCTTTGGTTGGCGGCTCAACAACAACTTTACTCTCTTATGTATTCCCTTGCTTATTCTATATGAAATTATGCAATAGTAACTGTGGTAACAAAACCGATCATCCATCATCCGTCATAGAGTGGAGTTTAGTGCTCAGAATGACGTCTCACGTGACGATACAGACGAAATAGTAACTGCTAAAACGCCCCTTTTGAAAAACCGAACAATGACTGCTAGTGATGAGAAAATTAAAGCTGACAATAATTTGTTAGCAAGTTCAAGCAAGCAAAATGTTCAAGCGAATTCTGAGCCGCATCCAAGCACAGAACGTATGTAAGTTATCTTTAAAACTGAAACTAAATCTTAAATCCAACCCGAATAATTGAAACGTTTACTTGAATTACCATTAAGGAATATCTAGGTATGAAAACTGTTGCATTTTAACATTACATCATTTTAAAAATCTGACAACTTTATAATAATTTTCTTGCAAAAAGTATGCTCACCCTGATGGCAACACGTCAATAAAAATAGCCTCAGTTTAAGATCTTTTTATTAATATTTAGACCTGAGCAATAGTCTGACACTAAAATATAATCTGCTTAAAAATTTCATTTTACAAAGATGTTGATGTGAGTAAAAGATTTTTTTTTCTCGTATAAAACTGTTGCTCATTATTAACTTGACTAAAGTATATGTACAAAAATAGCCATTTTGCTAGGATTAGGATACATGTATCACAGTGACACGAAAAAAAAATATATTTCTAAACTGAAGTCTCCAGATTTTACTTTGTAAGGTCTGAGAAAAGTTGTCATTTTGTTGTATGTTGTTAATTTTTGTAAGTACAACCCAAATTATAGCTAATATAACATATCGAAAAACAATTATTTTTATTTTCAAAGAAAAACCAAAATAAGTTGTTAATTTTTTATTATACAACAGTTCAGCAGAATTTATATTTTCTCTGGAGTGTTAACAGTTGCCATCTTGATTAAGCAAATTAAACTACATGCTTTTTTTGGTTCTTTTTCAGATTTATTCCTCTTTGGCAAAAGGTTTTGAATATCGAAATCATCTGCATCGGTATCATAGGCGGATTTGCTGCAACCGTGTCCGCCATCATTGCCATAGCAACTCCTGATAGTTTGTCTGTGCCGTGTTATGTTAGTCTAAATGGAGCAGGGTCATAATTACTATGGGTCAAATTATTTATGCATTATGAAGAATAGAAGATAAATTCATTTTTAACTTTATAAATGGCTAAAATGAAAATTTTAAATTTGAAGTTATGATAATATGAATAGCTCATAATACAATAATAAAAATAGTAGTAATAATTTAAAGAGTATTTTTTGGTGGAAGCACATGTAGTGGTAGTGGTGGTGTAGCGGTAGTGATTCTTGTTATCATTGATTACTCAGTGCTTTTCATGTTACAATCTATTTTAAACAGTTTGAATACAAAAATATATATAATAAAATAGTATCAATGTCATGTTTTAAATGATCATGTTTAGTTTCTATAATATCGAACATCAAGATTATAAAATTGTAATGCCTCTATGATATATGTAATAAGCAGCTGACCAAAAGATCATTGTTAAAAAGAATTTTTTTAATATTATAAATGAATGCTTTTATAGAGGGAACATTCATTATATAGCCATAATCATCACTTTATAGAAACCGATTCATTCTGCTATTGTGGTGCAAGTCAATGTAAAATCCCAGTAAAATATTTTTGTGATTGTTTATGTTACAATTAATTGAAAGTCCCCTTTCGGTGATATAAATCAACCTTTTAAACATAGATAATTACATTTGAGTAAAACCTCGTCACCGGTTGTCTCAGCTTGATGTCAGATCCTTGTTAGTCTCAGCCCACTGTTTGAGGTCTAGCATGTACAATTTTATACCTTTACCAATTTTAAACGACCATGAAGCGAAGGTGTCATTCCACTAGAATATATAGAATCATTATCACAAATAACCTTTGGATGTCTATTTGATAGTAAACTTATTTCAAAAGTGACCTTTGGGTGTCCAGGGTTCGACACTTTCAATTCTTCAGTTCATGTTGAATTGCGTATATATCTGCAAAAAAAAGAAATATAATTCGCTATTCCCACATTTCACCATCCTCTCTTATCAATATTTTCTAAACCGCTACTAGGTAAGGTTATCTACTAAACAGGCTAATACGAATTACTCCCCTGTAAAACAAATTCATTCGGACTATTTGGTTATTTTTTTGAACATTTTATAAAATGAAATAAGTTATAGTCCCTATCAAGGGAGAATAGTCAGATGTAGAATAAAGATGGCGTTTTGATAAAAGAAAATGGCGTTATTGATAAAAGAAAATGGCGTTATTGATAAAAGAAAATGGCGTTATTGATAAAAGAAAACTACATAACAAAGACAACAACAAAGATATAGGAATATTATCACCTACTCCTATCTTGTTTAGTAGAAGGAACCATTCTAGCTTACAGGGTCTATATTGCTCCTTTAACACAGATACTGACGAAAGAAACAAATAGGTTCTTTTAAATTAAATTTCTCAATTTAGAGAGTGCTTGTAATTACATCCCTGCAACAATTTGTTCGGGTCTAAATTGTAATGTTGCAAGATGAACATTTATGAACTTCAAGATCCACTGTTCCGATAGAACCTGCCTAACTAATTAATACTTTACCTATATTTGATTTTTGCGTCTTCTGAAAAAATAGTACGTCCGTAACTATATCACACCGTGGCCTTTTAGCTTACTGTACGGTACGCGTTTTGCTCATTATTGAAGGCATTACAATGACCTATAGTTGCTTACATTCACGTCATTTAGACTTTGGTGGATAGTTGTCTCAGTGACAATTATGCCGCATCTCCTTATTTTAAATCTAAAGTAATTAGTTTTCAGGTATCCTGACTTAATAGATAGATGCAGTTTATACAGTTTTCTGCTAACAATGATTCCAAAAACAAGTTGTTCAAAAAAAAGGAACCCGAAACCGCTGACTTGTCACCAAGAAATTGTGGATGAATTGTTTTGCTTTTGATTTGAAATAATTGATTGTGAATAGAACAAGGTAATAATGATGTTGAAACACCTTTATTGGAAATATGTTATTGTGTGTAGATTCTTGCAAAAGGTAATTTTAAAAAACACTATTGGATTTTAGTTGCAAATCGAATAGTGTATACAGCTACCATTTGAATTTACATATAAACATGATAAAGGCTTGATTATTTTATTTATTACTTGGGAGTTCACATTGTTTTTTCTCCTCGTGTTTAATTGCAATTCCCAGTTTCTGCAAACCGGATGTCTATAGCAAAATGTACAGACCAATCGAATATAAAATCAAACTTAGTTTGCAGTATAATCTGGATGCGTTTATTTTATCTTTCATATTTTGTTTCCTGAATGCCTTCAATTATTCTTAAACTCTGTACTGAGGCTGTCTGTACCCATAGTAGAGATGGTATAGAGAAATTGAAAGTCCAATTTTCATGTGAAGTCTTACTCACTGTGATGCAACTTATGACTTTATGAGAAGGTTTCGTATTTTGTTCTTGAAATTAAAAGAGAGGCGAACGATACAAACTCATAAGTCGAAAATAAACTGACAACGACATTGCAAAAAAGAAAAATCAATTATTTAGATTAGTTTTAATAAGGAATGTTGGAAATCTTTCATGAATCAACTTTTTACTTTTGATAATTGGTCAATTTTCATACAGATAGGAAGAGTAACTGTTTTCGTAAAAGTTAAGTATTTTCCAATCTACAAAAAAATGTGCAATCAGCATGCGCTTGGGTGTATGTTTCTTTCTTCGTTTATATGCAAACATGCGACAACAACCGGTTAGAAAAAGAATACAAGGAACGCTGATGTTTAAGAAAAGCGCACCAAATGAGAAATGCAATGAATTTTTTTAAATAACTTTTCCTGTGTCGATTGGTTTATTAATATACAATATAATATTAATCGACTGTTGAATTTTAGGCAAAATTTGAAATTTGAAGTAGTATTGTAAAAAACAGTTTTACTTTTAAAAGTGTATCGTCTGTTTTGAATTTTGAAGTGTATATATACAACGCAACTTGATATTATCCCACTCGTTGAACTAAAAATACATAACAACATGTAAACAAGATTAAACTTATTCATAAATCTTCCTTGAGCAAACATGTTGAGCAGCTTAAACATTTTATAAATCCATAACGTTGAACAATTAATTATTAAATAATACTAAACATAAAAACTTCCAAATCAACCATGTAAGCTAGAGAACAATGTAAAATGATACTTATCACATATCATTATGTAAATAGTAGGCAGTCTATTTTTATCTCGTTATTGATATTTGACAAGGAAGTTTAACAATAAGAACAAAATGGCGACTTCAGCAGACGCAAACTTTAAGGAAGAATCTATCAACGAAGATTTTGGCGATTTATTGACGTGTTCTATTTGTCTTGAAACATTTAAACAGCCAAAGTATTTACCTTGTCTACATACGTTCTGTGAATCATGTATAAATACATATATTGTTTCAACCGTGAAGGAAGAAAAACCAGAAGGATTTAAGTGCCCAGTATGTCGTCGTCTTGTATCGTCTAGCGACAGTATGGTGAAACCCGACACGTGGGCTAGAAACCTACCTGGAAATCATTTTGTCAATTCAATGATTGACCGGAGAGCTATGAAGAAAGCGGAGAAACTTTGCGATGCGTGTAGCAACGAAAACGTCTCTCAAAAAGCCATATCATGGTGCACTGTTTGTGATGAAGCTTATTGTGGTCCATGTGAAGTAAGTCATAAAAGATTCAAAATTACACGGAACCACAACTTATTAGCTATTACAGATATAAATGCAGAAATGAATGCTCCAAATATTTTTGCTTCTGTTGCTTGCGATGACCATCCAGACAAAACAATAGAAATATACTGCAAGGATCACTCCAAGCCATGTTGTACCGTTTGTGCTACTGTACACCATAGAAAATGTGAACACGTCATTACTATAGATAAAGCTGTAACCGGTGTCAAGGAATCTACAAAAGCAAAGGAACTTCTGACGAAGTTGAAAGAAACAGTTAGAAAATTAGAAGCAGTTATTAATACTCGTAAACAAAATACGACAAATTTCGAAGGAGAAACAGATGCTGTTTTAGTAGAAATTGGGAATGTTCGTGAAAAATTAAACAAAAAACTAGATGAACTCGAGAACAAGATAAGAGACGAAGTAAATAGTACAAGGAAAAACAATGTTCTACGATTAAGTGAAGAGTCTGCTGACTTATTATCATTGAAGAGTACGTACGATCAGTGGAAAAATATATTTGAGGCTTGTATATCACAAGGATCTGAAATACAATGTTTGGTCAAAATGGAGGAGATTTCCAGGAAAATGCCGGACATCGAAAATGATTTGTCTAAAGCTATACAGGGTATTAAGGACATTCATATTAAGTTTGAAGCTACGGACGTTATTTCGGACACTGCTTGTTTCGGTCGCCTGCAGTTCAATGACCATAGACCGTCTCTTCCTGGATTAAAGACAATAGACTTTCATACTGGAAAGATAAAAGTGTTGTTTACAATTGAGATTAAAGGCTCTTTTGTCAGTGGAATATTCTTCAACGACGATATCATTATAACCGATTATGATAAGAAAAGGATCGTTTATCACGACAATACCGGAAAACAAACAGATGAATTGAACATTCCGAATACCCCGTCTGATGTCACTAAAGTGAATGATCAAACTGTAGCCGTGTCTTCTGATGCAAGCAAGATTTTTATAATTAACGTTAAACCGTTTACTGTAGCAAAGACATTAAATATTAAAGCTGCTGTATGGGGATTGTGTTTGATAGAAAATGAGTACATAACTGCTAACAATAATACCATTTATTGGCTAAACGCTGAAACGGGTGCTAAAATAAAAGAATTAGCAGCAGGTGTAGACACACGATTTGTTACTTGTTACAAGAAAAATGAATACGTTTATATGAATAACACCAATTCTATTAAGGTTCAATTAGCTGACGGAAAAGATTTTCCGTATACTCATAGTAAATTATCCTTTCCGTATAATCAGGAAATTGATCAAGATGGGAACATATACGTTGTAGGACATAGTTCAAACAACATCCATCAGCTAAATCCTACTGGACAACTTATCCGTATCATACCTGTATCAGATATCTACAATACAGCTAAATATCCCTGGGTGATGCGCTTTAAACGAAATACTAACCGGTTTCTTTTAACGTTTCCATCATCGGCTGGTCCAGTGTTAGTATGTGAAATTGAATAAACTGAAATTAATGAACTACTATTTGTATTTTTAATATTAATACTGTAAATTGTAAAATTTTTACACATGTTTTACAAAACCTGCATCATTTAATATTTTTATATATCTCAGTTTAATTTTGATTGTATTGCATGTTTTGTTTGTTTGAATTTCAATTATAATAAGTAATTTTTCTTTTTATTTTGGTTCTCGTTTTAGAAAAATATTACATGATTGAGTAAATAAATTATTTATACTTTATTCTTACTATTCATAACACTTTTCATTAAGTTCCCAAAACTCACGTGTACAGAATATATTGCAAAGTGCCTAACACTATTTTCATTAACAAAGGGAAAGAACCCATTTCAGTTACCTCAAGTGAAAATATTACATGAAGTTCGTTTTCCTTCAAATCTTTGTCGTATTCGTGCAACTAAATATGAATTCAAAGTTAATATTCAACTAAATGACAAAAAAGGATCGATATCAACGCACCTGTTCCTTCGGCCACCGAGGCCTCTCCTTCGTCAAAACAAATGTGGAACACGTATGCACGTATTGAAATAATTTGAAAGTATAACTGTGAATCGCAGTTTACTAGCATCATAGGTAAAAAAAAAGAAGAGAGAGAGAAAACAAATAGAAAAAGAAAGTTTGAAAAGTCATATAGTTATCACTGAACTAGTATACATATTTGTTTAGGGGCCAGCTGAAGGACGCCTCCGGGTGCGGGAGTTTCTCGCTGCATTGAAGACCAATTGGTAGCCTTCGGCTGTTGTCTGCTCTATGATCGGGTTGTTGTCTCTTTGACACATTACCCATTTCCATTCTCAATTTTATATAATTCTGTGATGATGACGTGAGTGTTGATGATGATGTTGATGATGATGATGTTTCGTGTCAGTATCAATAACGCTTTATGAAGGTACAAGAAATTTGTTTGACCTTTTGATGAAATTTTGAACATGTTTGAAAATTTGAATATTTTGTTCGTTTGAAAGTTACAAGTGTCCACAAATTAATAGTTTTGTATCTAAAACAAAGTTTTCGGAAAGCCAGTTAAGACTATTGAATAAGGTTTTTCAACATGGAGTGTATTTTGGACAAACGAAGAAGTAATGATGGACATCCTCATTATCTGACCCACATTGGCAAGAAGGATCATTTACAATATTAGCTCGAAAAAGGTCATAGTTTAAGAATGAAGCGGAGCATCGCAATTGCGTTAAGATAATATTCAATTTCCTCGGGCCGTATAAATAAAACGTTTCAACTTTACTTAGTAGGTTATCGTTTTTCTTTCTTAAATTTAGAAATAGAGTCGACACTGCGAATTTTTGGATCAAGTTTATTCCACTCACGTATTGTAGAGGAAATAAACGATTCAGTAGTAAGGGAAAGTCTGCAAAATGGAAGAATAATATCATGACCATTTCGCAACGGATAGTTGGTTGTACTTTGTACACATGGAGGTACAAGATTACATAGGTACATGTACTCTGGTGCATGTTATTGGTTCATGTTATAAAACATCTGTAATTTTCTTCTCCATCTTCTTTCAAAAAGAGATTCCCAGCCAACCTCAGAGTATAAAGTTTCAGTTATAGTGAATATTGGTAGACCGGTTACTATTCTCGCGGCCTCTAATTGCAAATTTTCTAATTTATGCGAGTAGCATATTCCACAATTATCCCAAAATTCCGTGGCATATTCAAAAATGGGTCGAATGAAAACTAAGTACATTTTTTCTAAATTGTTTCGAGATATCGGTATTTAAGTTTACGTAAAAAATTTAAGTGTTTCTTTACACTTGTAATTATACTTTCAATATGATTGTTTCATTTTGCGTCACTACTGAAATTAACTCCAAGGTTCGTATGAGATGTACTTAAAGGGGCACTAGCTGTCAAATTCATGTTCACCGATTTGACTCAAATTCTCATATTTGATTTATAACCATGTAAAACATTTATCCAAATTATAAAAAGTCTAAAATAAACAATTTACAGAGCATGGGCTCGATAATATGTAGCTTCGTTTCGTGTGTATTTTAGTCTTGACGCCATCTAATTAACTATCGAGTTGACCTCCGAAGACTTTCGATGGTCATCTAAGCGATATAAACATAAAATATAGATATAAATACAAAGCGAACACGTGCAATTGTATTTTTCTAGGTCTGTTTAATTTTATATTATAGATTAAAATTATTTCTTTTCCTTTAAATAACCGAACACGCACACTGCATGCGTTATCCATTTTTAGTTAAGGGGTTAAATTGAAGTTCACATGAATACGGATTCAATGAGGTCGAATTATTCACTTGCAAGTGAATAATTCATCATCAATGTTTCTTAGCTTATTTTGACAAAATTGAACCATACTGGCTGCTAAAAGCGAATTATTATTTCACTATTTCACCTTCATTAATGATTGAAAAAAAATCATACTTTAGATTTTTTATATATCTCGTAGCTAGTGCCCCTTTAAAGGTATATTTTTACCATTTAAGGAAAAGCTGAGGTCTGGAGTCTCAATATTTGAGAAAATCATATTTTCGGTTTTATCTATGATAGCTCATATTATATTCTATAAACTGTTTGCTGTACATGCATGCCCATTATATTATACTTTTAAATTGTAATTTTAAATTGTATTATGGAGAAGACTTCATACATGTAAGTATGGTTTAGTTGTGTCTTTTCCATCTTGCTTTAATTCAGCAAATAAAATATGTTTAAACTAAACCAGCATTATGTTGTGAACAGTGGATCACATCAAATTATAAAGTTACGACGCTTCTGTGAGTCTTGTATTGCTAAACCATATCGACTTTGATGCATTGACGCCTTACCAATTCTAAACACATTTATACAAACATAACATGGTTGTAAAAATAATAACATAGGTCCTTGAAAAATATTTAAAAATACATGAACAATAACCAAAATAAAATATTCTTGACTAAAGCATTTTTCAAATTATTATCAACTAAAGATCCAACATAATCATGAACATATGACCTAAGATGGACGCAGCTATTCCTCTTTAGGTCCCAGTTAGTTGTATTGGTAAATTAATAATGCCGACCGTTATTAATACACAAATTAATGCAAAGTCATTGTCATGCTTCTTAATGAAGCATTATATTTATTTAGCAGAGGGATACAGAATGAAACAAATAAGTAGTATATTGTTATCAGAGCAATATAAATCTAATAGTGTATTTTCTATTCATCAAATTCTCCAAATAAAGAATTTGAGGAGACGAAAGCACACGTGTAAAACTTTACAGCATGGTGTTCCTGTATTAAGACATACTATCTGGATCTTGTGTTGTGTTGTTGGTGGTTGGTGACGTTTTTCGATGATGTTAGGTGTCGTCTGTTGTTGTTGGCTGGTATCATGTGTTGTAGTTGTTTGGTGTCGTCTGTTGTTGGTGAGAAAGTGCCAGCGCCATATAAATAAACGGAAAACGACTAAAGGACATTTAAATAATTCTATCCTTGAAACGATCATGCGTTTTGGCATCCAGTGAAAAAAACATTATCACTATAAAAGGAAATTTCCTTGCACCTTTGAACCCAAACTTCAAAGCCAACAATCACAGTCAACAACTTTAAAAAAACTATTGATATATACATTTTGTTCAATATTGTTACTCTGAAATATGAGGTGACAAAAATTAGACTCAACATACAAACTAATCTAACTCAGTCCATTCGTCCAGACTTAAGATGAAAAAAAAAAACATTTTGTTTTTTTTCAATCAAATTCATTGATTATAATGGAATACATGTGAATACTAAGATAAAAGGATAGTTCATATCTTGACGAAGAAGATGTTTTATTAAAACATTGTTGTGACGTCAGTCCATTGTTGTACCCGTTCTCTATTTCAGTGATTGGACTATCATTTACCTGTAAGAAACCATTATGTTACCTTTAACTGTCCAATATTTTTAAGAATTGCCCTCCTTATTCAAGAACTGAGAAAAAAACTATCAATTCCCACAATTATTTTCTTCAAACAAAATACAACAAAAGAACAAATGGTGATATTTTATTAAAATTACTTTCAAAAACAATAATAACTTTGTCACTCATCAAGACGGTTTCTTGAGAAAAAAAATCACTCTCAAATTGATTTTAACAATACCGATACTTATATCACAGCCATTTTTCTCATGTTTTGGGTTGTCTCCTTTAGCACCAATTTAATCGGTTGTAAGTCTTGTTTTTGTTGCTTTTAGGTATTTCTTGTTTTTAAAGATTTATCCTCGTCCGTCTTTGGTTAACAAAATCGACCTCTGTTGTTGGTCTTATTCTTCCTAATATAAAAAGAAGATGTGGTATGATTGCCAATGAGACAAATCTCCACAAGAGACCAAATGACACAGAAATTAACAACTATAGGTCACAGTACGGCCTTCAACAATGAGCAAAGCCCATACCTAACAACATTTTCAGCTACAATTAAAATGAAAAAAAAAATAAAATAAACTAATGCTTCTAACGTTTGATAGATCATGCCGCAATACAAGGACCAAAGTAAACTAATGTAGAGAAAATCATTCATCTGAAGTAAATGTTTTACGAAGTGTTGATGTGCAAGCCACATATTGTTCCTTGGACAAAATAGCTAATCACGAATTTGATTAACAACCTAAACCTCACCCTGTGTACAAAGTGCAAATCGAGAACTTGCTTTATGAACTAGGGGACTATAATAGTTTTTATAATTCTCATGTGTCGGCGCACTGGCACTTGTCTCGGAAATCTTTTTCCTATTTTTTCCTATATACCTTAATGTAACAGGGTAAATATATTTAAAAATATAAAAGTGCTATTGTGTCGGCGACTCGCCGTTGGTTTACAAGTTTGCTTTTTTAAACTGATATTATTGCTTGAATATGAGTATAACTGTATAATGCAACACTTTGCTTATGAACGACGATGATTATTGGGAGAAGAATAAAGGAACACGTTATAACCGCAAGTTACCTGTTAAACAAATTAATCATGTGTCCGATTTGCACTTTGTTCGTAGTGATAGTTTTTTTTTGTTATGAAAGAAAATAAGAAAACCTTTTTTGCAAAAGGAAATCGGGACACAAAATTTTTTTTTCGGTAACATTAAAAAAAACAAAACACAAGTGACATCAATACACAAATAAACGAAAAGACATAAAAAGAAAAATGAGGGATATTCAAGTGCATGGTACCGTTTGGGTAAACCATAACCGTCTCTTGCAAGA